AAGGTAGTCTCCAGGAATGGCTTCAGTTCCAGTTCAGAGGAGTGTCTTGGAGCCATAGTCTTGGGGGTTCCTGGTCTTTTTTGTGAAATTGATTTTTTATTCTACAATTTTTTGAAGTATGTTTTTTATAGATAGCATATACTTGGGTCATGTTTTTAATCTACTTTGCAGATCTGTGTCTTTTAATTTGGTATTTTTAGAGTATGCACATTTAAGGTGATTATTGATATGTTAGGGCTTACATCTGTCATTTTATGTTTTGTTTTTCTGTTTGTTCTCTCTGTTTTTTTATTTCTCTGTTTTCTTATTCCGTGGATTACTTGAAAATTTTTTAAAATTCCGTTTTGATTTATCTGTAGTTTTTTTGTAGCCTTTGTGACGTAGTAGATAAGAGCTTGGCTGCTAACCAGAAGATCAGCGGTTCGAATCTACCAGCCCCTCCTTGGAAACCCTATGGGGGCAATTCTGCTCTGACCTACAGGGTCACTAGGAGTCAAAATTGACTCGATGGCCATGAGCATAGTGTTTTTGCAATGAGCATAGTGTTTTTGCACATATCTCTTTGTATAGCTTTTTTAATGGTGGTTCTAATTATGATATATGCAAAGCTATCACTGTTAACTGGTGTTATCCTTTAACAGTTCTGGTAAAGTGTAGAAACCTTACCTTTCTTTATGCCTCTTTACTCTTTTTTTTTATTTTTATTTTATTGTACTTCAGGTGAAGGCTTACAGAACAAATAGTTTCTCATTAAACAGTTACTACAAATGTTGCCCTATGACAATGGTTAACAATCTCGCAACACATCAACAATATCCTTACTCAACCTTGGGTTCCCTATCACCAGCTTCCTTGTCCCCTTCTGCCTTCTGGCCCTTGTCACTGGACTCCTGTACCTCGTTAGTCTCATTCGGTTTTACGGGGCTGTCCACTCCCAGGCTGAACAGTGAACCTCGGAGGTAACTTCACCACTGAGCTAAAAGGGTGTCTGGGGGCCATACTCTCGAGGTTTCTCCAGTCTCCTTTAGGCCAGTAAATCTGGTCTTTTTTTGTGTGAGTTAGAATTATGCTCTACATCCTTCTCCAGCTCTGTCCAGAACCCTCTGTTGTGATCCTGGTCAGATTTACTCTGTTTTTTAAATAATTGTTTTAAATATTTTTCTACATACATTTAGAACCACATTAGACAGTTTAGTGTTACCATTTTTGTTTCAGTTGTCATATGTAACTTAAAAACTCGAGAGGAAAGGAAAGTATTGTATTTACCCATTTTTTTGATTAGCATGCATTTTCTTCCTTCCTGATGTTCCAGAGATCCTTCTTTTATCGTTTGCTTTTTGTTTAGAGAACTTCCTGAAGTGGTTCTTTTAGGGTAAGTCTGCTGGTGACAAATTCTGTTAATTTTACTTCATCTGAGAATGTCTTGAATTCGCCTTCATTCCTCAAGGATATTCTCACTGGGTATAGGATTCTGGGTTGACAGTTCTTTTCTTTCAGCACTTGAAAATATTGTGCCACTTCCTCTGGCCGCACCGTTTCTGATGTGAAATTGCTGTCGTTCGAATTGTTTTTCTCCTGTAGGTTAGGTGGTGTTTTTCTCAGTGCTTTCAAGATTTTTTCTGTGTCTTTAGTTTTCAGAAGTTTAATTATGATGTGTCTTGGCATAGATTTCTTTGGGTTAATTCTTGTTGAGGTTTGCTCAGCTTCTTGAATCTGAGGTTTATAAAGTCATTTGTCAAATTAGGGAAGTTGTCAGCCTTTTTCTTTCTTGTAATACTTTATCAGCCCCTCCCCTTTTTCCTCCCTGAGAATTCAATGACATGTATTTTACATTTTCTGTTATAGTCCCACAGGTCCCTGAGGCTCTTTGATTTTTTTTCCCCAGTCTCTTTTATCTCTGTTTTTTCAGATTGGTAATTTCTTTTACCTGTCTTCATGTTTACTGATTTTTTTTCCTCTGTCCCCTGCATTCTTTTATTTATTTCAATTATTATTTTTATTTCTAAAATTTTCATTTGGTTCTTCTTTACATCTTCTGTTTCTTTCCTGAAACTTTATTTTTTTTAAGGCTTTTTTCCATTTGTTTTGAGTGTGTTTGTAATTGCCTGTTGAAGCATTTTTATCATGGTTGCCTTACAGTCTTTGTCAGGTAAGTGTAACATTGCTGTCATCTCTGTGTCGGCAACTATTGATTGTCTCTTTTCATTCAGTTTGAGATCTTCCTGGTTCTTGGTATGACAAGTTGTTTTCTTTTGAAACTTAGACATTTTCATATTATGTTATGAGACACTACATCTTATTTAAACTCTATTTTATCTGGCTTTCTCTGACACCGTTGTAGAAGTGATGTGCCCCTCATTACTGCTAGGTAGAGGTAGATGTCCGGGTTCCCTACTCAGCCTCCATTGGCACCTGAGGTGGGCATGGGGGCTTCTCATTACTGCTGGGTGGGGTTAGAAGTTTCTGCTTCCCATTTTTTCTCCACTGACACCACAGTGGGAGTAGCCTCATTATCACAGGGCAACAGTGAAAGTCCTGACTCTGACACTACCCCAGTGGGAAGTTGGAGGGATGCCTCTTTACTACCAGGTAGGAGTGGAAGTCCAGGCTCCTATTGTGATCTTCACTGACACCATGGGATTGGTGGTGGTGGTGGGGATTGTTACTGCCCGGTGGAGATGGAAGTCCTAGCTCCTAACTAGCTTTCTCTAACCCTACCCCAGTTGGTGGGTTGGGGCACCTCATTACAGTCTGGTGAGTGGAAATCCAGACTCCTCACTTAGTCTTTGGTGACATGAGCAGGGCCACAGTTTTTCTTTTGTGTTTTGGCTGGACTTGAGTGGTTATTTTCTAAAAATTTTCTGTCTTATTTTCTCATTCCTCCCTTCCTGGTCCTTTACTTCCTGATCCTGCCTCTTTCCTGGCCCTTTGGCTAGAGAAACCAGGCTTTCATTGGGAATTTTTTTTGCTGGTGCCTGATGGCATTTCCAGGTTGCTGGCTTCTTTAGCTCTAAGTCTGGAATATATGAGGTACAAAGAAAACGCAGGGAACTCACCATCATATCATTCCTTGGGTGCTTGAGGTCCCTAGCTTGTCTGCCTTTTTCTCTCCACCTTTCACAGCCTTCTTATGTTTGTTTTATATATAATGTCCAGGGTTTTAGTTGTATTTAGTGGGAGAATAGGGAAAAGTACCTCTTTCTCCATCTTCCTAGAAGTGGAAGTCTCATCTTTTCTTTGAAAGATGTTTTCATAGGGTATACGTTTTCATGGAATTCTGTGTTGCCAGCATTTTTCTTTTAACAGTTAAAAGATGTTATTCTGCTGTCTTCTTATTTGTTGTTTCTGAAGAGAAATCTGTTGTCAGTTTTACTTTTGTTCCTCTATACATGATGTTTCCCTTTTTTTCTAAGTGTTTTTAAGATTTTCTTTTTGTCACTGTTTTTAAGCAATTTGATTGAGTGGTCCTTTGTATAGTTTCCTTCATGTTTCTTCTGCTTGGGGTTTGTTGAGGTTCTTAAATCTGTGGATTTACTGTTTGCTTCAAATTTGGACAATTTTCAGTAATTTTTAAACTATTTTCTTAAATTAACATACAATAAAATTAACTTTTTTGATATACAGTTTTATGAATTTTACCATGTGTATGGATTTATGTAATTGATACCTCAGAATACAAAACTGGTCTATTACTGCAGAAAAACTCCTTTGTGCTATTCTTTCAAAGACAATCATTATTTCTTAAAATATTTGTTCTGTTCCCTCACCCTTGGACTCTAATTGCATGTATATTGGAACTTGAAGTTGTCCCACAGCTTCCTAATATGCATATTTTTTTAGTTTTTTTTTTTCCTTCTCTTTGTGTTTCATTATCAATATGTTGTATTATTTGTTGTCTTCAAGGTCACTGATCTTTTCTTCTGTGGTGTCTAATCTGTTGTTAATCCCACCTGGTATATTTTTCATCTGTAGAAGTATATTTGGGTCCATTTCAACACTTCTCCTTAGCACGCTCTTACTTTTAACAGATGAATATATTTATAGTGTCTTTTTAAATTGTTTTTGTCTTTAGTATATTATCTGTGTCATTTCTGGATCTGTTTCTGTTGATTTTCTCCTTGTTATCAGTCATATTTTCCTGCATCTTTGCATGCCTTATACTCTTCAGTTGGATGCCAGATATCATGAACTTTATGTTGTTGAGTGCTGATTTTTTTTTCTTATTCTTTTAAATGTTTTTGAACTTTATTCTGCGACACAGTTAATTGAAAAGAGTTTGATCTTTTGAGGCTTTGTTTTTTAACTTTATGAGGCAGTTTCTGAGCAGGCCTCAGTCTAAGATAGTTTCTCAGTCTCAGTACTATTGATATTTTGGGCCGGATAATTTTTTGCTTTGGGGGCTGTCCTGCACTTTGTAGGAGGAATAGCAGCATTGCTGGCCTCTGTCCACTAGAGGCCAGTAGCACCACTTAGCTATGAGTAAGAATGGATTTTATATTTTTAAAAGTTGTTTTAAAAAAAAGAATATGCAACTGAGACCACTGTATGCGGCCAAGAAAGCCAAAGTAGGTACAGAGAAAGTTTTCTAACCCTAGGTATAGAAGACATTCTTTTACTGTTTGGGACAAATGGTAGTGTTAGAAAAAGTTCATATTTTTCCAGTATAGAGAGTAGTTATGTGCACAGGCTTTGAAATCAGAAAGCATATGATTCCAATTTTGTGTCTGCCACTTAACTATATGACGTTGGGCAAATTTTTACCTTTCCGAGCCTCAATTTCCTCTCTTGTAAAGTAGAGCCAATATATACTTATCATTTAGGCTTGTTGGAGAATTAAATGAGAGAATGAATATAAAATAGATAGCTCAATGCTTTGACACATTGTCGCTGTTATTGCTATTTCATTTGAGGAGCATGTCCCTTATATCTAATTTACTTAATGTATGTATACATAGTCATATTTTTGCTAATTTGGAGGTTTATCATCTGTTGTCTTTCAGGTCATGCAGAAGGATTTTGTATGATGTGTACAATGCAAGCACATATTACCCAGGCACTCAGCAATCCTGGGGATGTTATTAAACCAATGTTTGTCATCAACGAGATGCGACGTAAGTACCATTCTGTAGTAGCTTACAGTAGTATTTATTAACTAGTTAGTCTTAATGGCCTAACTGGTAAAAAAAAAATGAGGCCCCCCCCCCCCCCGGGTATTATTGGAGCCCTAGTGGCATAGTGGTTAAGAGCTTGACTGCTAACCAAAAGATTGGCAGTTTGAATCCACCAGCCACTCCTTGGAAACCCTAAGGGGCAGTTCTTCTACTCTGTCCTATAGGGTTGCTATGAGTTGGAATCGACTCGATGGCAACAGGTTTTGGGTTGATGTATTATTAAAAACCAAACATTTCATCATACGTGGATACATCTTTTTACTTAATAATGTTATTTTTAGTAAAACATTTTACTATATAAATGTGTTTTGAAACTTTTAAAACAAAAGTTGACAATATAATAAAGAAGATAGTATTCAGTTAATATAAGCAAATTTTAAATGTTTCTTTTAAACTCAGAATTTGTTAATAAAATCACTGATAAGTTTTACAACAATCTTTTTCCCCAGATATTTGGATTTCTATGCTGAGTAATGCTAACTCTGATAAATATTTTCTTACAGGTTTCTGTAAATAGTTTTTAATTGCTTTCAATTTGATGAATGAATATTATGCTATACATAGTGACTGGAATTGTCAAAATAAAGTTAATTATACTCTTAAAAATTATACTTATCAACAAATTTGTGGATAATGTTCACTTTTTATATTTAATTTTTTAATTATTTAAAAATTTTGTCTTTTGGTTTATGATCCTGATAGGTTGCTTGAAATTTTCTTTTGTCCTTTGTGTGTTTTTTGCAGTGGACTTTTACATCATCTTAACTGAGTTGGACTAAAAAACGCACGCAAATTAAAAAAACTACCCCTCTTAGTCTCGTATCCAACTGGGTAATTATAGGGATGCATAATTATACAGTGAGGAATGTTAATTCTTTCCTAAAAAACTGCTGAAAATTAAAGAGATGTTATACTGGCTCTTGGCATTTTTGCTTGGCCAGAACAGACAATGCAAGAATCTTTAAAACATTGTTGGATCCTGGCAAAATTTTAGCCGGGGGTGGATGGTTGTTTTTAGTTCCATATATATTTATATATACATATATATCAGGCATGATTAATATTTTAAAACCTAGTCTTTAAGAACAGGACTTTGCTGTGTATATACGTGTATACATACATCCATGGAGACATACACACTGTAGAATAATGAAATTGCTATTTTTGTAAGTTAAGACTGGTAGAATATTAACAAATTTATGTGACTTAATATTTACATACATATAGGTAGATATATTATTTACCTTTAGGACAGAGTAGAACCTGCCCCATAGGGTTTCAAGGAGAGGCTGGTGGATTTGAACTGCAGACCTTTTGATTAGCCACTGAAGGCTTAACCACTGTGCCATCAGGGCTCCTTACATACATTAGTGTACAAAATTTGACATATAATTTATTGTGATAATGTTTGTACGTTTGTGTTTATGTTTTTTGTTATTATGTAATTTGGTCTTGCAGCTATTTCGTCAATTAGAAGTAGGGCTAAAATGTTACTGTGTAACTGAGAGAAGATAATTCGTTTTGTAGGTCATCAGGATAGAATTTGGATAGGTTTGGACATTTATGTTCGCATGGATTCTATTATCATGGAGATCTGTTGCAGAATTTAAAATGTATACATCAACACCATGACATTTTAAAAAATATTTTATTTTGTTGTTGTTGAGAATATACACAACAAAACATACACCAGCTCGATTTTCTACATGTACAATTTAGTGACTGCACCATAACATTTTTGACAAATTTTTGAGACAATACAGCCAAAGTTGAATGTATTCAAGTACAATTTCATTCACTTGCTAAAGACCTATAGCATCTTTAATGCAAGAGCCTACTGTGGCTGCTGTCTGTACTGTAAGAAACTCCAGCCACGTGGGCATTTAGTGGGCTAGAGGGCGTGGTCCTAGCTGCTCTCAGGGTAGCTTGTTTATTAGTGCTAGTTCCTCATGAAAGAATTATCTGGATATTATTTTCTCAATGAAGTATTATCATAAGATAAAACTTTTTTGGGGTGCAGTCTGGGCACATTATATGATGATAAAACTTTGTCTTTATTTAAATTTTGCAGGAATAGCTAGGCATTTCCGTTTTGGAAACCAAGAAGATGCCCATGAATTCCTTCAATACACTGTTGATGCTATGCAAAAAGCATGCTTGAATGGCAGCAATAAGTAAGTCTAACAAAGCACCAGTCATATCTTCTGTTTTCGTCTCTGGCTTATCAGAATTCAGTTTTGCCTTTTATGTTGAAAAGTACATAGATCTGTGTTTGCTTCACCTTTTGGCTTTGCATTGCCTCTTTCCCAGCCTATTTGCATTATATTAAAACAGTTTAAAGAGGTATAGTTACTATAGTAATTTGAATTTGTCAATTATAGATGTCAGGAAATGAGCATTGGCTTTGCCATTGTTTGATTTCTGAGTGTCAGCTGAACTCTACAGATCTAAAAACAATGGCGTCTCCTTTCTAGTCCTGCCTGCCACTTTCTCTGTTGATTTCCAGCCTTGGAAATTTGTTATTTGTTCCCTGCCTTTTTCTCACTCTGTCTGGTCAGTTGCCAACTCCTGTAGCTTCTTTCTTAAAACCTAAATGCAGGCTCAAGAGGAAGATTGAGGAAACAGTTACATAACAAATCCTAAACCACTTGCTATTGCGTGAACACATCTGGTAAATCTCCTTTTCTATTCCCGTTGCCACCGCCATTACCTCATCTGGGCCTTCAGGGTCTGGGTGATGACAGGCCACGATTTGCGGAAGCGCTCTGGGTCCCTGCTTTCACAGTCCTGCCTGTGGTCTCTTCCTCCAGGCCAAATTCCTGCCTTGTCTTCAAGCCTCTCCGTACTCTAGTTCTTGCTATCCTGCCTCTTTTCCCACCACTCCTCCTGCCCTCACTATGTTCTGTCCAGCAGGACTCTTCTCTGGCTGCCACATATGCTAATATCTTTTTAGTTTGTGGCTCTTCTGTTTGAATTCTTGTTCATTGATAGACATATATGCTTTTGAAATCTGGTCGTAGCATCTGTGATTTTTGCAGAACTCTTCTCTCATATCACTGTTTGACTGTTTTCAGATTAGACAGACACACGCAGGCGACCACACTTGTTTGTCAAATATTTGGAGGATACTTGAGATCTCGAGGTAAACTTTTGTTTAAAAGTTGATAAAGTGATGCATACATGTGGTTTAAAAAATACAATAGGAAGTGGTTAATTATGAAAGTTCAGTTTCCCGAAGCCCAGACCCCTACCCACTGTCCCCAAAGGCAACCACTGTGCCAGTTTGTAGTGTTTCCTTCCAGTGGTTTCCTACACATGCATAGACTGGGAGCAGACAAGACGTAGCCCTTTCATTTTCCTTTTAACATTAGAAACTTTTTACATTTCAGCACATACAGATCTAACATAGTCTTTTCACAGATGCAGTAGTATTCCATTTATTTATTTAGTCCCCTGTTGATGGCTATTTGGATGGTTTCTGTTTTGTTTTGTTTTTTTTAATTACCATCAGTGCTTCATTGAACGTCCCCAAACATATGCCCTTATGTCCATGTAGGAGTATGTATGTGGGGTAAATTCTTAGTATTAGAATTTCTGGATCAAAGGATTGTGTATTTTAAATTTTTAAAACTGCCATATTGTCCTTCCTAGAGGTTGTACCAATTTACATTCCACCTAAACCCATTACACTTTGACCCACACTGTGTGTAGTATTCAAGTTCTAAAAAATTGTACCTTGTTTTATTTTTTATTTTGATATAGTATTATATTTTATCATTTCAGTAGTCGGTACTGCCATAATGATTACACTTGGCTTATACTGTGCATTTTATTTTTATTTCAGTCAAATGTTTAAATTGCAAGGGCGTTTCAGATACTTTTGACCCATATCTTGATATAACATTGGAGATAAAGGTAAGTTTCATCGTTGTGGTAGTTAAAAAAAAGTCAGTCATACTTTACATAACTTTATAGTTCATTTATAGTTTAGACTAGTTAGAGAATATGAACTGAAAATTTAAATGTGCTCAGACTTCATTTAAAGGTGATTATTCAAACCTGGTAGTAGGCGTCATAACAAACTTTAAAACACTTCATCTTTTTACCACTCTTTGACTTTTCACTTAATAAATCTTCATAAAACTAGAAGATTTTGGTGCCTATACTTGGCATTTTGGCAGAGGACTCTTAATATAATCTGGACAGTGCCCTTATATATTAGCCAAATTTAGATGGTTATTTAGAAACAATTTTGTTTCTTGTATTTTCTAAACTCCTATTTTTTTGGTTTGTTCTTAAGCTTTTGTTTTTCTGATTACAAATGTACTACAGGCTTATGATAAAAATGACAGACATTGCAGATATATGTAAAATCCCATCCCTTAGAATTAACTCTTGTTAACAGTTTGGTACATACTGTTCTAGAATATACATACATATATAAAATGTATATATGTTTTTTTAAAACAAAAACTAGATTATACCTTCTGCCTATTTGGCCACTTGCTGTTTTCATGTAATTCTGCTTGGAGGGCTTTCTGTGTGAATGTGTTCTTGGGGCAGCTGTGTAGGATCCAGTGAACAGATATGCCGTAATTTACCTCTCTAATTCCTTGCTGGTAGATAATTTGGTTTATTTCCAGTTCTATGCTATTTTAAATAATACTGCAGTGAGCAACTTCTTTACATATTTTTGTTTACTTTAGTCTCCTTGTCTTTTAATGAGAGGGAAAATAATTTGATGTGTACGTGTATAAAAGTAAACATCATAATAAGGGAAAATTGTCCTTTTAGCATAAAAATGCACATTTGTCTTCTCTTTTTATTAAAAGAAGAGGCTGTGAGTTGTGATGTGTGTGCCATTTCTTCCCAGGCTGCTCAGAGTGTCAACAAGGCATTGGAACAGTTTGTGAAGCCGGAACAGCTCGATGGAGAAAACTCCTACAAGTGCAGCAAGTACGATAGCTGGTGGCGTGGACTTGATGCCCATTGCTCCAGTGGGGATGGCAGGGAAGCTTGGCTCTCAAGAGTTTGGGGTGTCTCAACAACCCCTCTAGATTCCATTTAGCTTCTGATACCATCTGGGAAGACACTGGGTCCCTGTTCTCCAAGGGCCAGAGCAGGCAGTGTCTAAATGTTTGCACTCTTTTCAAGACGTGCAGCCCTGTGCCCTTGGGGTCTGGTGCATCATTTCTGTGTGGATTTGTGGAAGAAGAGCGAGGTAAGGTCCTCCAGAAACCACACATTAGTGCTGCCTCATAGGAAGATATAGCTTTGGATTGCATGTCTTTGTCACACAGGCCTTTCATTGACTTCCTCTATAAAAAGGCTGGGATGGCAAGTATTGTATGAGACCACTATTATAAAAACTCAAGAAAAGATTTATGCACAGAAGAAAACAGTCTTTGATGGTTATGAGGGAGAGGAAGGGTAGGGAGGGGACATCACTGACTAGTTACTTTCGTGAAGGGAAAGACACAGTATAGAGGAAATCAGCACAACTTGACCAAGGCAAAGTCTTAGAAGCTTCATAGACACATCTACATACTTTGAGGGACTGAGTTACTGGGGCTGAGGTCTGGGAACCATGGTCTTGGGGAGTATCTAGGTCAATTGGCATGACATAGTTCATAAAGAACATGTTCTACATCCTACTTTGGTGAGTAGCGTCTGAGGCCTTAAAAGCTTTCGAGTGGCCATCTAAGATACATCTGTTGGTCCCATCCCATCTGGAACAAAGGAGAATGAAGAAAACCAACAACACATGGAAAAGATTAGTCCCAAGGACTAATGGACCACATGAACCACAGCCTCCACCAGCCTGAGCCCAGAAGTACTAGATGATGCCTGGCTACCACCACCGACCCCTCTGACCGATAGAAGGTCCCAGACAGAGCGGGAGAAAAATGTAGAACAAAATTCAAGTTCACAAAAAATACGAGACTTCCTGGTCTGACAGAAACTGGAGGAACCCCCAAGACTATGGCCCCCAGACACCCTGCTAACTCAGAACTGAAGCCACTCCCGAAGTCCATCTTTCACCCAAAGATTACACAGGCCTGTAAAACAAATAATAACACATGTTGGAATGAACGTGCTTCTTAATTCAAATATATGAGACCAAATGGGCAACTCTTGTCCAAAAGCAAAGATAAGAACGCAGGAAGGGACAGGAAAACTGAATGAATGGACACAGGAAACCAGGGATGGAAAGGCGGAGAGTGCTGATACATTGCGGGGATTGCAACCAATGTCATGAACCAATTTACGTATAAATTTTTGAATGAGAAACTAATTTGCGCTGTCAACTTTCACCTAACACACAATAAAATTAAAAAAAAAATAAAAAGGCTAGGATGGGGCTGGGAAGTCACTTTTTCCTAGAATAGTTAAGCAGCTTTCTCTCTCATGATGGTTACCCAGGATTCGGGGTCATATTTATGTTTTATTTCTTTATGAAGTCAAGAAAGCCGATTTTAGCAAAGCCCTTTGTCCTGTGTTTTAAGTAGATTATCATTTATAGTCAGGTAATACAGATAATCTTTATTATCAAATATTCATTTTTAGAGGAAGAAGGCTCCCTTCTTTTTTCCAAGACTGTAGGAATCTCTTCGTTTTCTTAACTCCATAGGCCTTTCTAATCTTTATTTTTCTTCCTTTATCAGGATAGGGCTTTATTTTCACAGAATAGATACCAGTTTGAAAATATATTAGTTTTTCAGTTTGCTTTGAATTGAGAGAAACCTGTATTAACCTGATTTTAAAATTATCGGTCACCTACATGGCTTGGCATCTCATAATTGTCTTACCTTCCATTTTCCTTTCATACTAACTCAGCAGTTTCTCCCATGTTTTTAATTTTACTGTTTTCACTGTTGGTTGAAGGGGGTGGCGTTTCTCATCTAATATAACTTCTTTTGTAAACTAATTTAGACTATTTCAGAGAAAACAAGGGAAACACTAAAATGCCAAAAAAAAAAAATACAGTAATTATCTTAATCCTTTGCTTCTGTTTATTTCAAGGTGTAAAAAGATGGTTCCAGCTTCAAAGAGGTTCACTATACATAGATCCTCTAATGTTCTTACACTTTCTCTGAAACGTTTTGCAAATTTTACTGGTGGAAAAATTGCTAAGGTATGTAGATAGTATGTATATTAGTAATAACGTTTTATTTGAGCCTTTTCAAGGCTTAAGTGTCAGTAGCTATTAAGGGTTATGAACAACCTAGTTGAACAGATTTGTTGACTTGACTTTCTAAGTCCTTCCAGCATTTGGTAGAGGGAAAAAATGTCAAAGAATTGAGCCAGTAGTTTGATGAGCATTGGAGCTTGTTTTTCCCATATCCTTTAGCTAGCTAGACTTTCTGGTGGTAAAATTGGTAACTTATCTGCATTTGGCTTCATGGCCAATTCTTTGACATTCAGGGTAAGGAGAGGCACAGATAGCACGTGTATGATTTGAAATCCAGAAGCCTTCCCTGCCAGATCTTGCTCCTCTTTCATCAAAGTCCATTTTCTTGTTTGCTCATTTGTTTTCTGATTAGTAGGACACTGAATTTTCCTGTTTTATTCCCACTTTCTGAAGATTGAAAGTGGTCAGAAATTCAGTAGTATGCAAGAGAAATAAAATAATCTGTTCCTGAATTATTTAAAATAAAAATAAATGACGACTCACGTCCAGTGTTGTCATTCTGTTACTGTCTCCTTGAATGGATAAGAAGAACTCACTTTAATGTGGGGGAAAAAATACAGTGGGACTGCATTAAATACACGTTACTCTTAGATCCGGGGATATGCCAGGCCCGCTGTCCCTTGAAACGTGGTGCGTGTGTTAGGTTTCTGCTGGATGTCACAGACTGGTGTTCTGCTTGACTCCTCCTAGCAGACCTGCTGCCTGAGCCCACGCCCATGTGTGTGGAATGATCTGGGCCTTCAGAAATGATGCTCCTTTTTCCTCTTCCCATTTCGGTTTAGGATGTGAAATATCCTGAATATCTTGATATTCGACCGTACATGTCGCAACCAAATGGAGAACCGATTATTTATGTTCTGTATGCAGTCCTAGTACACACTGGTTTCAACTGCCATGCTGGCCATTACTTCTGCTACATAAAAGTAAGCTCTGCGGATTTTGCAAATAGCTGTTTGTAGATCCACACTCAAGGTAGCACCGGCATTCTGGGGGGAAGGTGGGGCTTTTACAGTTAAAATGTGAATGACCATTTTTCTTTTCTTATATTTCTCTTGTTTAATTATAGCTAATCTGTCTTATTGGCTGTTTTTTGCAGGCTAGCAATGGCCTCTGGTATCAAATGAATGATTCCATTGTATCTACCAGTGATATTAGATCGGTACTCAGTCAACAAGCTTATGTTCTCTTTTATATCAGGTATGTCATGAAAACAAATATTCACATTTTCTGTTACGTCAGAAATGATTTTTATATATATAAAAATATATATTTTATATGTGTGTGTGTGTGTATGTGTGTTCATACATATCATTTATGCTCTTCCTCTCACCAGCATACTTAAGTCCAATATTGGGTTACCTTTAAAACAGCAGCTTAATAATTATTGTAACTTGGCCACGTGCCCAGATAGAAAGTAAGGTAGATCTGACTACGCTTAATGAGTTTGATGTAGCTCTTGGCTCTTTGGCAGGTACAGGAGAGGGACAGCTTATGCTGCAGACAGCCAACAGGGTGGGCCTGAGGGCTGTGGGGGCAGTGGGTACAGACTGGTCACAGTGGCCCTTCCATCCCCGGAGCAGGGTCAGCTGGCCACCATCCCGGGCCAGGCCTCCTGTCAGCAGCAGCTCTGGCGCGCTTCCTGTCCTGGTGCTGTTGCATCTGCTGACTTGCCAATTCCATTTGCAGAAATGTGGCCTTTGGGAAAAACCTGGTATGTGCTCCCAGGTGTTCATGTGTAATAACTGAAAATTAAGACTATCCTAAAATGTCCAACAATAGCAGAATGATCGAGTAAATTGTAGTATATCCCTATGCAGCTGCTGAAAATAATTTTTATAAAGTTTTCTTTTTTTATTTTTTTTAATGTTATGAGAAAGTGCTCAATATATATGGGGGAAAAGGAGTTTTTTTTTTTTTTTTAAATAAAAATGAAGCAGACTTTATTTAGAAGATAAAGATGGTGTATCAGTTTTGGTTAATAAAGTTGGGCTCAAGTGTTTTAAAAGCTCTTTAATGCCATCACAGACTGGCATGCCAAGGGCATTCTGAATGCCAATTACAGACTGAAGGTATTTCAAAAACCAAGACACTATCAAAAGCTGATAGAGTTTGGATTTCTCTTAAAGTTAGACTAACACACTTCAGTAGTAAGAGTGAACAGATTACTCAGTTGTGAAAGTTAAAACACTACACTGAGCAGTCCCGCTCCCTTTCTCCCCAAGTCCCTAAGGCAATATTACAGTTGCTTCTGACAGCCAAAATTCCAACATTTCAACAGAGGGGAGCAGAGGGGAACTGGGAGAATGAAAAGCAAAGTTAATAAATTGTAACTGATATAGGCAGCTGCCACTTGTTCCAAAGTAAAGCCTAGTCCCATGCCCATTTTCTTCACATGTGCACTGACATCTTCCCAAACAGACGGTAACTACACTCTTGCAGGAATGTGCCAAGACTAGGGTGGGGAGGTCCAGACAGTGAGTGGACAGAATGCATTTTGCATCCAGTTCCCTTAGGTGGTACAGCTGATTAAGGACAAGTACCTAGACTATGGAAAACCCACTAGCCAAAGGTAACTAGAAAAGAGGATTAAATGCATAACCAGTGCAGAATAACTGCGAGGCACCAAGACCACAATTCACCAGCCCATTTTCCTCTTCTCCATCACTGAATGGATCTGCAAAAAGTATTAATAATAGCACTGGTCAGCTGCTTCGTGGAACAAAACGTGACAAAATACACGGAAGGTTTTGTTTTCATTATGGTTCTCAGTGTACTTTATTCTCCTGCTGTCTATCTAAGCAGCCCACACAGGACAGAAATGGATAGCACTGAGGAATGATCAGATTTTTTACTCTGGGGGAAAAGGAGTTTTAAATTTTCGGTACTGGTCTTGAAAAAGCACTGCGGGCTAAAGATGGAGGATCATCTGCTAAATCTGAATAGAAGGCGCGTCTGATCCAAGCCGTGGTATTTTTGATTGTCCAGTGACAGTGAAAGCTGGACAATGAATAACGAATACTGAAGAAGAATTGATGCCTTTGAAGTGTGGTGTTGGCGAAGAATACTGACTATACCATGTACTGCCCAGAAAAACGAACAGATCTGTCTTGGGAGAAGTGCAACCAGAGTGCTCCTTGGAAGTGAGGATGGCAAGACTTCGTCTCACGTATTTTGGACATGTTATCAGGAGGGACCAGTCCCTGGAGAAGGACATCGTGCTTGGTAAAGTAGAGGGTCAGTGAAAAAGAGGAAGACCCTCAACAAGATGGATTGACACAGTGGCTGCAACAGTGGGCTGAAACATAGCAATGATGGTGAGGATGGCGCAGGACCAGGCAGTGTTTTGTTCTGTTGTACATGGGCTCTCTGTGAGTCGGAACTGACTCAATGGCACCTAACAACAACTGAGTGGTCAGATGAAGGATCATGTTTGTGTTGTTTTACTCTTTCTGGACATTATAGATTTTCTGTAAAATGGTATATATTTATAATTAGAACAATATAATAAAAGGAAAAATGGCTTTCAGATAGTGACATACTCAGAATACACGGGTAAAAATACCATTTATTTGCTTACCCTTGTCCCCCAGTCGGAATACCTGACATTCACCTCACCCTGAAGAAGAGACTATGTGAGATATCATGCATAGCTCTGTACAATGTAACATAAAAATACAGTAGTTTTCTTCTCAGTCTTTTACTTGAGGAGTTAACTGCTCTTGGATTTCCAGATAAATCTCTTCTAAGACAATCCTCTGTGTAACCATGAGTGATATTACTCTCTTTACCTCCAGGTCCCATGATGTGAAAAATGGAGGTGAACTTACTCATTCCACCCACAGCCCGGGCCAGTCTTCCCCCCGACCAGTCATCAGTCAGCGGGTTGTCAACAATAAACAGGCCGCGTCAGGGTTCATTGGACCACAGCTTCCTTCTCATGTGATAAAGGTAACACTGTATATAGAGTATAATCCTTTATAGTAATTCAGACTCTCAAGTTCACATTGCAGTGGTCGCCATGTTTTCATGTACATTTGGACTTATAGTCAGATAAGTTGATCCCAGCCTTTATTTATTATAAAATATTTCAGATACATAGAAAATCTGAGCATGAATGTAATGATCTAGAAGAAGGTTTTGGTATTTATTGTTGTTAGTTGTTGTTGAGTCAATTCCGACTCATGGCAACCCCATGTGTTACAGAGTAGAGCTGCTCCATAGGGTTTTCTTAGCTGTAATCTTAAATGGAAGCAGATCACCAGGCCTTTTCTTTCATGGTACTACTGGGTGAGTTTGAACCGCCAGCCTTTAGGTTAGCAGCCCAGCGCAAACCATTTGTGATACCCAGAGAATAATGATCAAGAAGAAAGTGGGGGTGTGAGTATATTTAAATGCTAGAGATTTTAGCTTCTGCTTTGAACTTCCATTCACTCTATAGATGACATATTTGGGGATTGTTAATTAATGTAATTAATGCTGGACTCCAGGAGAGCACCCTTTTACAAGGATACTTCCATTTCGTCCATTTAGCCATTTCAGAGCTGTGGCATTTTCTGTGTGCTCTCCTGCTGCATTTGCTCATGCTCCCTGATAGTCTCGTCGGGGAGAACTGACAGTGTTGCCTATGTCACATGAAGTACAAAGTCTGAACAGAGTGGAGGCCCAACTTGTTAGACTTCCATGTCGAGATTATTTACAGCCTGTCTACATTTTGGGATTATCAGCATCAGTTGAGGTGTAGGGTCTTAACAGCTTTCAGTTTGAGTTAATTTGTTTTGAATTATCGAATAAACTGTCTAGTTGTGTATGTTTTTCCATGGACCTTGGGCAGTATTTGGATTGGAGTAGGAGTCCCCAGTCAGAAGGCTCTGGAAGCTGGGCAGGTAGCGGGCTCCTTGATAGGGACCTCCCGACACTGTCAACTGGAGAGGGCCTGCCTGCCCATACGCGGGGCAGCTGCTGTTGTTTTATCAGGCAGTTTGGCTTTTTACATGAACCATTCCACTTTTAAGATAGTTACTAGTTCAGATATTTAAGAAAACATTGTGAAGGCCAAACAAAAGTCATCTCTAAACCAGATTTCACTCATGAGCCCTTGGTTGCTGCCTCTGGGTAGAGCTACTGTAGTTGCGCTCTGGAGCAGAACAGCCGCACAAGCAGAATGAGACATGGTTGAGCAAGGCATGGCTTAGGGAGCATGCTTGCCTCGGCCGCTTCTGTTTCTGCCCATCTGACGGCTCACCAACTCCCAAGCCAGCAGGAGTCACTTCCTCCTAGCACTTCCTTCTCCCTGTGCAGTGGTGGGCTCCCAGGAAACTCGACGAAGAAGGTCATATTTAAGGCCTCTTCCTCTGCCAGATTTGGGCACAGTGAGTTTGGTTTGGGATTATGCTCTAGAACATGCTCTGACAAACATTTGTCCCTATTTGTTGATTAATTGCCCAAAAACCTGACCTGTGAAAGGTATATGGTGGGCAGGAGTCAGAAGAAAGAAAGGGGAAGTGTTTCTGGGGGCATAAAACTTATTCATACAAAGAAAAAGCACACCACAATGGGAAGGGCTCGTGAGCCAGACTGGATTCTGTTTCTGTGACACTTACAGAACCCTCACCTGCTTGTGCTTTTCTTCATTACAGAATCCACCTCACTTAAATGGGACTGGACCTTTGAAAGAAACGCCAAGCAGTTCCATGTCAAGTCCTAATGGTAATGCCAGCGTCAACAGGGCTAGTCCTGTTAATGCTTCAACGTCTGTTCAAAACTGGTCAGTTAACAGATCCTCAGTTATTCCAGAACATCCCAAGAAACAAAAAATTACTATCAGTATTCACAACAAGTTGCCTGTTCGCCAAGGTCAGTCTCAACCTAACCTTCGTAACAACTCTTTGGAGAACCCTTCCAAGCCTGTTCCCTCTTCTACCATTACCAACTCTTCTGCAATACAGTCTACCTCGAATGCATCTCCAGTGTCAGTTTCTAGTAAAGTAACAAAACAGATCACCCCCAGCGAATCTTGTCCCAAGCCTGTGATGAATGGTAAGTCCAAGCTGAACTCAAGTGTGCTGGTCCCCTATGGTGCCGAGTCATCCGAAGAGTCTGACGAGGAGTCCAAGGGGCTAGGCAAGGAAAACGGTCTCGGTACAACCAAGAGCTCTCATTCTTCTGGTCAAGATGTTGAGGACGATGAAGCTTCTCAGCATGAGCTTCAAGCGCCTATTACCCTAAATGGTGCTAACAGTACGGACAGTGACCCGAAGGAAAATGGTCTGCCCTTTGACGGTGCCAGCTGCCAAATCCAGCCTTCCCTCTCAGAAAACCCCTTTTCTAAGGCCAATGGCCTTCCTGCAAAGGTGAGTGAGCGGCAGTGGCAGGCTCTGCTTCAGCTGTCATTTAGCAGTCCACTGGGTAAGGTTTCTGCCAGCACAGGGTCGGCCACTCGAGTTGAATGAGCATTTGTTTTTTCATCCTAGTTGATGCCTGCGCCTTTGCCACTTCTCCCAGAAGACAAAATCCTGGAAACCTTCAAACTTAGCCACAAAGTGAAAGGCTCGGTGGAAGAAACAAGGTAAAACAAGAAAGACTTACAAAGGAAGCTGCGTGGCAGGAAATCTCAATAGTGCCTATCAGTGTGTTGGAATTTTTACTCTGTAGAAAGTTTTGTAATGAGCCTTTGAATCTTGATATGATTTGAACAATATCTATAGAATTTTGTTAATTTGTCTTTTAGAAAAGTAAGTTGAACAAATTAGTCAAGTCCATGAAAACAGGACATGTTCATGGTAACATTTTCTTCTGCTTAGCCACTCTCTGGTTAGGCATGCTGTTGGCACATGGCTGAAGTAGACACCCAGCGCTGTCTCACTTACCCTTTTAATGACAAAGAAATATATGAAGATGCACTAAGGTTATAGGGCAGGGGTTCTCAACTGTCAATTAGCAAATATTTTCTAATACCCTCTCTACTATTCTAAAACTAAGTTCATAGGTAGAACCTGTTCCCATATTAATTTTTAAAAAAATCAGTACATTGACCTAACTGTAATCACTGAGAGGAATGAAATGAAACGAATTTATAATAAAATCGTAGCTATTGCAGTATGTAATCAGGTGGGGCTGCACTACTCCCAGACATGGTGGGGCACGCAGGTGCTCACAGCTGCGTGCATATCCACAGGTGTGCTGGGCACCTCGAACAGACTCGCCGTCAGTCACACAGTGTTCTAAAGGTGGATGTTTTGGTGAAGTTCTGGCCAAATTTTGGTACCATTGTCTCTAGGTTTACAAAATACTTGCATTCTTGAAAAATTTAGTGCCTATTAAAATTGTGCAAATAATATCATAACCAGATTTTTCGCCCACATGAATGTCAGGATGTGTGAGACGTAGGACACCAATTCATGATGGAGGACTGCCCTGAGCTTCGGGTTCCCCCATCATTGTAACAACCCCAAAATGCCCACCCATTTCCAAAATGGCCCCTAGCAGGTGGGACTGCCCTCACTGAGAACCACTGGAATGAGGCCTAGTTATTAAAACGGGATGGTGCAAATCCTATAGGCACAGAGGAGCACTCAGTCCCAATATGCTCCAAAGGTAGAATGGCGCTCATGGTCAGTCGTTCGCATAATGACTCTCCTCTTGTTTCTTTCCTGGTCTGGCTTAGTGGTCCTCAGATCTCATGTGCAGGAAAGCTAGTATAGACGGTCGTATAAGCAAGCCATGTCTGCCGTGACCAGGCACGAGTTGCTTTATGAGCTGGCTGAGACGCTCACTCCCACGCTGTAGGTAACGTCATTGCATTGACTGCATATGTGTTCTCACCCCAGATAGATCCCTTCTAAACAGTGGAAATCACTGTAGGGTTTTTACTGTTTCCTGGCAGCTTCCATTAATCTTGAGATTGTATCAAAAGCTCTACAGCAATCAAGGGCAGGTTCATTTACTGCAAAAAGTTTTTCTGAGGCTTCAGTGATTCCTCACAGTTTCTAAGAATCCAGGGAGCTGCTGGCTGTGTTTGCTGGCTCTGAGGCTCCAGGAGAAACTCAGAGGAAAAGCGAGAGCATTGTTCAGCTCCCTGGATTGTTTATACTTAGTCATTAAGGAAAATTAGAAATAAGCTCGGGAACAGGAGGGGCCTGTAACTGCAGAATTATTGATGCTGGAAAATGGGATAGGTGGTAGGCTTGATACAAAATTTTGTATTTTTATCTAACAAAGGAAAGCGAAAATTCCAAGTTTCCAGTGATGACAAGTCCGACAATGGGTTTTAGCCAAGTATATTTAAAGGTATAAAATATTTGGTAAAAGGATGTTTTGAATATTTGCCCCTGTAAGCTAATGACAAAAACCTATTAGGCAGTCAAGCTAATTATCTTATTTACTTATCTTGGTGGGGGCTGCAGTGCAACTGGAACAGAGAAGAACCCGAAAGAGGATCATGAAGCCGAGCTAGAGGCTGCCAGTAGCCCTCTGGATCCCAGCGAGAACCTGGAGACGGTTACAAGTCTCGGCAGCAAGTTAAAGAAGGCGTTGCTTCCCTCTGAGCCCAGCGTCAAATCTACCAAAGAAGAAGCCTCTGAAAATGGTTCCGCAAAACCCACTGAGTCTTTGCCCAGTACCCACAATCTCTGTAATGCCAACAAGAGTACCTTAGGGGATGATCAACTCTCTAAACTGTGTGACCCTGGGAATTTAACCAGCGATCAGATCAAACCATCACAAGATACAAACGGGACATTAATAGAGAGTCCACAGGGCAGAGCATCAGTGGAAACAGCAGAGAAAATGACTCCAGCTCCCTCAGTAAACTCAGCTGATGAATGTGAGCATAAACTCTTGGTTTACATTAGTAGGGAGAAATGCCGAGAACCGGAGGACCTTCCTCAAAGCTCAGGCATGTCCACAAGTGAGCTGCCCTCGCCTCAGTTAGACACGATCACAGAAAATCACTCAGACAAGGCCCTTGAGCAGAGTAATGGTGAGAGACGTGAAGAAAACAAGGTTGGGCAGAAAGTTCAGGATCATTCTCCAGTCAAGGAAAAAATCAGCAGCCTCAGGAAGGTTGATCGAGGACATTACCGGAATCGCCGAGAGCACTCCTCCAGCAGCGAGCGCGCGAGGGAAAGTAGGAGCAAGACCGAGGACCGTTACCACAAGCAGCGGCACCCCTACACCCGGGAGCGGCCCAAGCAGGACCGCCACAAGCCTGAGCACTGCAACGGGAGTCAGCAGCACCTGGCTCACGGCGAGCGGGGCAGCCCCGGCGAGCGCCACTCCCTGGGCCGGTACAGCCACCACCACTCTCGGAACCGGAGCGGGTCAGACCAGGAATGGGGCAGGTACCACCACTCCGAAAGCGAGTACGGCTGGGTCCGGGAGAAGTACTACCCTGACAAAACGAGATGGGACAAGTGTCGCTACTACCACGACAGATACGCCCCATACACAGCCTGGGAGGGCAGGGAGTGGAAGCTTTTCAACGGCGACCGGGAGTATGACAAAGCAGGGCAGTACAGTAAGCGGCCGTACAAGGACTACTGCAAGAGCAGGAAGGGCTGTGAGCTGGTGGCCAAAGAGAAGGACCGGCACCACTTCAGCAGCCCCAGGGCAGGCCCGCCCCATGCGCTTGCTCTGTACCCGGAGAAGTACCCCCACGAGAAAATTGCACTTGGAGCTGAAGAAATCAGTTGTCATCTGTCCGATCGGTTTCATGAACACGAAAACGTAAAGTCCCGGAAACGGAGATATGGCGGTGTGGAAATGAATGACAGCAGTGTAGAAAGGAAAGCCCAGAGAAGCTTACAAAAAGATTCTTTCGAGGAGCCTAAAGTGAAGAAGCACAAAAAATCAAAGAAGAAAAAGAAATCCAAAGACAAACACCGAGATCGGGACTCCAGGTAGGTATGGGGGCCGCTCGTGGGCCTGCGGTCGGGGGAGCAGTAGGGCCCATGGGCTTCAAGCCGTTTGCTCCTCGCTCGTCTGCCCATTCTTGCTCTCTTCTAGCCTGACTGAGTAACAAGTGAAAGAAAGGCTGTGTCACGTTTATATTAGTTTGACTTGTATTTTCATCTGTGTAGGTTTTGCGATTTCACTGCTTTTACAGATTTCTAAAATTCAGTTGTGCTTTTAAGGTATATCTTATTTCATGGTATATAGTAAAATGCCCAACAACCTCATTTTTCAAAACGCTATTGCCATTTTTGGCTCGTACTTTATAAGACTTGTAGGAGTACGTGCATGATGTCCTATGAATGAAAGCCTGGGAGTCTCTGACTTCAGAATCAGTGCCAGTATTCTTACTCACCTGCTGTGGTTGTATTTTCTCATGTCTTCATGCTTTCTTCACGTTCAGTGGCTGTCAGGTGGGCAGAAAATGGGAGGCCACACTCCTTTTGACATTTGCATGCCAGAGTGGGGGTTTGAGACGTGTCGCTTGTTTCCTTGGCCTTTGTCTCTGTCTCCATTTGTCAATTGGAAATCCACTGGGGAAATTTGGTTTTGTATTTTTAAAAAGCAAATTGTTCGGTGAGTGTCTTGAAAATGACTTATCCCTGATGCGATGGAGAAGTAAGAACAGAGTTACTCTGTAGTTTAGCAGACAGTTCTTAAAATTGAAACCCTGGGAAAAGATGACCAAAAGCCCTGGGTAAATAAACAGTGGTTACTGGAGGGAAAAGGTAATCATAACCACCTCCCCTCATATGTGCTTGAGACACCTGGCAGAAGCGTTTTATTTTCCTTCAGCCACTAGTTTCAGGAACAGTAGCCGAATCTTCCCTGCAGTGTTTTGGCCCCTGTGCAGAGCTATAGTCGGCTAGGGGAGGAGCCAGTGGTGAGTTTATGACCCTGAACTTAAACAGTTGTTACAATGAAAACAACACATTTTTAATTAGATGGGTGTCTCACCTGTGTTTAGACCAGCACATGGGTCTAGAAGCCAAGCAGTTCTGCTTTTCTGACTGTTTCATTCTGGGACGTTCTCCCGCAGGCATCAGCAGGATTCAGATCTTTCAGTCTCGTACTCTGATGCTGACCTCCACAGACACAAAAAAAAGAAGAAGAAAAAGAAGAGGCATTCAAGAAAATCCGAGGACTTTATTAAAGATTCAGAACTACACTTACCCAAGGCCGCTAGCTATGAGACTGTGGACCATGCCCGGCGAGCCGAGGGTGGCTTTCCTCTCTCTGATGGCTGGCCTCTAGAAGGCATCGGACCTTGCCGCGAGAAAACAAAACATCTAAGGATGGAAAGCAGGGGTGACAAGTGTCATCTCTCTGAGTATGGCCAGGGTAAGGGGATACTTGGAATTAAGAACTGAGAAAATATTTTTTTAATAAAAAATTTTTTTTAAAGGTAATTGACGCATGAAAAAAAAATCCCCAAATGGCATGAAAGGGTATACAATTCCGAGTAGGTTCCCGCCCACCCCATTTCCTCCAGCCCCAGCTCTCAGATGTGTTGTGGGACTCAGTTGCGTGGTTTGGACATTTGTCGCCGACCCGTTAGCGTTCACTGGAAGCCTAGGTTATGTAGAACCAGGCCCAACAGCACCTGGAATCTGGAGGCCCTGAAATATATGGCTCTGGGTATCTGTGTGTTTGTCTCTTTAAGGTCTGGAGAAACCCCGTTGCCGTCAAGTCAATTCCGACTCATGGCGACCTGTAGGACAGAGTAGAACTGCCCCATAGGGTTTCCAAGGCTGTAATCTTTATGGAAGCAGACTCTTGAATCTTTCTCCTGTGGAGTGGCTGGTGGGTTCGAACCACTGATCTTCGGTTAGCAGCTGAGTGTTTAACCACTGTGCCACCAGGGCTCCTCCTTTAAGGACTAGAACTCTTCACACCATTTTTGATAGAAATAGTTTTGCTCTTCTGTATCCTTAAACCTTTGGCATTCTGACTGTAATCTCACTCCTAATTTGATGACTTGGGTCATTGGAAACATTAGTTGTAGGCCTTGAGCAGAGTGATGCTTCAAGGCTGCTCTGGGGTTCTGGGCTCCTGACTTGGGGAGATGACTGCAGGCTGCTAGGTTCCCTGCATTCTTGTGTCTGTTCTGCACAGGTCTGTGTCTTCCTTGAATCAAGAAGCCCTTTCTGCTCTCTGAGTGCATGTAAAGTAGCCCTTCTCCCCCTTTCTAATTTGCTTCCAAGGACCTTTGACCCTGGAAAGGGGCATCGAGCCTGTCAGAAAGGGATGGAACGTAAGTCAGTGGACCTCCAGCGGAGGTCGGCAGACTGCGGCCCTGGGGCCAAAGCCCTCCGTGGCCTGTCTTTCCACGATCTGCAAGTTAAGAATGGTGGTAACGTTTTTTATGTGCGTGTTGTACAAATGTACATAACAAAACCTACACCATCTCAGTAATTTTTACATGTATAATTCAGTGACATGGATTCCATTCTTCATGTTGTGAAACCATTATCACTCTTTTTCTGAATTATTCCATCACCATTAACGTAAACCCACTGCCCCCTAAGCAAAAATTCCCCTCCCTTCTTCTCTCCCATCCCTGGTAACCACTAATCAGCTTTGGTATCTGTATAGTTGCCTGTTTTATGTAAGTGAGATCATGCAGTATTTGTCTTTTTGTGACTGCCTTGTTTTACTCAGCATAGTGTTTTCAGGGTTCATCCAGGTTTGTGGCATGATCAGGACTTCATTTCTCTTTACAGCTGCAAAATATTCCATTGTATGGATAGACCACGTTTTGTTTCTCCACTCATCTATTGATGGACATTTGGGTTGTTTTCCTTTTGGCTATTGTGAAAAGCACTACAGTGAACATTGGTGTACAGGTTTCCGTTTGTGTTCCTGCTTTCACATCTTCTGTGTCTATACCTAGCATTGGGATTGCTCGGTCATATGGCAATTCTGTGTTCCCCTTTCTGAGGAAATGCCAGACTGTTTTCCACAGCGCCTGTACCATTTTCTGTTCCTGCCAGGAGTCGATGAGGGTTCCAATTTCTCCATATCCTCACCAACACCTGTCGTTTCCTGTTGTTTTTTGAATCATTGCCGTTCTGGTGAGTGTGAGGGGGTATCTCATGTGGTTTTGATTTACATCTTCCTAATGGCTAGTTGAAAACCCTGGTGGCATAGTGGTTAACAGCTACAGCTGCTGCTAACCAAAATGTCAGCAGTTTGAATCCACCAAGTGCTCCTTGGAAACCCTGTGGGGCAGTTCTGCTCTGTCCTGTAGGGTTGCTATGAGCTGGAATTGACTCGACAGCAACGGTTTTGGTTAATGGCTAATTGGAGCCCTGGTGGCACAGTGGTTAAGAGCTCAGGCTGCTAACCGAAAGGTCGGCAGTTGGAATCCACCAGCTGCTCCTTGGAAACCCTATGGGGCAGTTCTCTGTTGTTTAGTGTTGCTATGATTTAGAATCAACTCGACAGCAATGCGTTTATTTTTGTTTTTGTTTTTTAACGGCTAATGACAACATCTTTTTATGTGCTTCTTGGCTGTTTGAAGGTCCTCTTTGGTGAAATATCTGTTCAAGTCCTTTACCCATTTTTTGATTGGGTTGTCTTTGTTGTTGGTTGTAATGTTTTTAAATGATTGGAAGAAAATCAAAAGAATAGTAACAATTCATTTCACATGAAATTCAAATTTAAATGTCCATAAAAAAGTTCTCTTGGAGCACAGCCACACTCAGTTCATTTACCTGTTGGCTGTGACTGCTTTGGTGCTACAGCAGCCTCATGGAATAGTTACGACAGAGACTGTGTGGCCTAAGGTGTTTGCCATCAGGCCCTTTACAGAAGCAGTTTGCGACCCCTGCCCCAGACACCCTTGGTTCACTTTCACAGATAAAGTGCACGGACGTTATTGCGGGAACTCTGATGCACCATTTGAGTTGCCCAGAGCCCTTTTGGGCTTCTCGGTTCTTGACTCTGTCCTGGGCTTGTGGTGGTGTTGATGTGTCACGGGGGAGACACAGGAAGAGGAGGCACTGCCTGGCCCCTCCAGTGGCTCACAGTCCGTGTGCGATTGTTGATTAAGGCAGGCACATGGTCTCCACAAAGTGTTGGTGTGCAGAGAACCAGAAAACACGAGGCGTGCATGGACTGTTCTCTTGGGAGGAGAAGTGTGGTCTCTAAGTGTTATGGAGGAAGTTTGTGAACAGCAAGTAGCAGGTGCAGAATTGCCATTGCCAGCAAGAAGTGGAGGCTTAAGTGGTATTTGCTATGTGTGTGCGTGTTTTTCGTGGTCAAAATACATAGGTAGTACCCACTTAAACGATGGGGTTCCATTCCAACAACTCCGTCATAAGTTGGTTCTGATGTAAGTCAGGTACCTCATTTTTTTTCATTATTGCTCTTTATTATCAGTGTCTTTATAAATCATAACATTGAACATCTGTGAGTGAACATCTGAGAATAACAGCAGCAAATTACACGCTGCAACACTGTAGTACGTATTACGATAAGATGTACAAAAAAAAGATGGTCGTGAGGTTCATTGTAACTCGAATAGATCGTAAGTCGGGGACCACCTGTATGTAACGAAACCTACACCATCTGACAACTTCTACATGTACAATTCAGTGACATTAATTGACTTTCTTCAAGTTGTGCAGCCATTCTCACTGTCCTTTTCCAAATCATTCCACCACCATTCACATAAATTCACTGCCTCCTAAACAATAATTTCCCTTTTCCCCCTCCCTCCCACCCCGGTAAGCTACTAATAAGCTTTGATTTCTACATATTTGCTTATTTCACATAAGCGAGATCATACAGTATTTGTCCTTTTGCAACTGATTTATTTCGGTTCATCCATGTAGTGGCATCCATCAATCAGGGCGTCATTTCTCTTTCTGGCTGAGTAGTAGTCCGTTGTATGTATGTACCACAATTTATCCATTCATCTGTTGGTGGATATTTGACTTGTTTCCACCTTTTGCCTATTGTGAATAGTGCTACGGTGAACAAGTATCTGAATCCCTGCTTTCACTTCTTTGGGTATATACTTAGGAGTGGAGTTGCTGGGTCATATGGTAGTTCTGTGTTCATCTTTTTTGAGGAACTGCCAAACTGCTTTTCCCCCAGCAGCTGCACCGTTTTACATTCCCACTTGCAATGGATGAGGGTTCCAATTTCTCCACATCCTCGCCAACACTTGTTATTTTCCTTTTTTTTGTTTTTTTTTAATAATAGCCATGCTAGCAGGTGTGTAGTAGCTCATGTGGTTTTGGTTTGTGTTTTCCTAATAGCCAGTGACATTGAGCATCTTTTCATGTGCTTGTTGGCTGTTTGAATGTCCTCTGGTGAAATGTCTGTTCAAGTCCTCTGCCCATTTTTTGATTGGGTTGTCTGTCTTTTCGTTGTTAACTTGTCCATGTGTTTTTTAAGAAATTAATTATACACGTTTTAAAATTGGTTTCACATGAAACATGTTGGTGATTGGGGCAGGGGGTCGCGAGGATGGATTCCCTTCTGACCCTGCTCGGCACGTCAGGATTAAGTGTGAGGTGGGCCCGTTCTGTGTGTTGGGCCAGGGCCTGGAGGGCTGCCGCGTGGTTGTCAGGTCGTCTGTACGGACCTGGCCAGAGGCTGCCAGGAGGCAGAGGCTCTGCAGGGAAGGGGCTGAGTGCCAACCCTGGGCTTCCTCACGTTTGTAGCCCAGACGAGGGTCTTGGGGCTGCAGCAGGCTTTGAGCTGTGACCCTGTGCCCTGTCCCCGGTCAGACTGCACCTGAGGGCTGCCTGGTTTGCAGCCAGGGGCGGGGCACAGCTGGTGCCTGGGTCCGAGAGCTGTCCTGTTCATCCTTCCCAGAGGGGACTCCTCCCATTGGACGGAGGATGGACACGCTTTTCTGACTGTCTTCCATGCATCTCAAGTCCCTTGTCCTGCACTTTGCCTGTTTTACCTTTCTCATTTGGCTCATAGTCTCTGGTTCTTTTCAGCCCTCAGCTCGTTTCTTTGGCCTAAGATGCTTCTGTCATGAGTGCTGGTCTGTCTGATGGGGCTGCAGATGGTGCCCACCCACGGGGCCCCTCAGTACCACATGAACTGTCTCTTGCTTTCAGCAAAGCACTTGGAGAAGCAGCTCATGACATGCACGTGCCTGTCCTCCTGGAGGCCTGATCTCAGGCCATGAACTGGAGGCTTCAGAGAATGGAGTGTTAACTGTAGTCGTTTAATGCACCTGCAGAGCAGAGGCACTAAAAATTGTGCAAAACCATCATTAAAATGTTTCCGAACCTTTGCTTTCTAGGTGATTGAAAACTCGGCCTCAAAACAATTCACTAGTTATGGTAAGCTGTTTTCATATTGTATATTTCATAAATGCTGACAGAGCTGGTGAGGGACACAGAGAAGGGAGTGTTAACTTTAAAGACAATGTCAGATGTCAGGGAGCACCCTCCTGGTCTCGGCCCTACCCCCAGTAGCTAGGTGATAAGATGCGGGGTGTCTACCATGGACGGGGTGGGCGGGTCTGGGGAACCAGCCCCACTTAGCTGCTTCCCAACAAGCTCTGCACTGTCGGCAGATGCTCCGCACTGCCCACAGATGCTTTTCATGGGAAGTCCAGACACCTGCAGAAGGATTTAGCCCCCTTTTCCTCAGACTTTCCCAACGTTGTCAGGGAAGATTTATGTTCCTTAGACTTAGGAAGAGAGTCACTCCATTTTCCCATCTCCTTCATTGTAAGAAAAGCTGGCAGAGTTCATGGCATTAGAATCAACAGGACGGTCATTTGACAAATGGAGAATCCTGTTTCCCCAGCCCAGGCCTGCCTGATTGGTTGCTCTAAGGGAGGAACCTGGGCATCTCTGTTCCTTTCCCCATTCCCCGTGCTTCTGGGACACCTGGTCTGTGGACTGAGGGGTTAGCACCACTCACATTGGGCTGCCTGGCCCGGTGCCCAGGCCGGGGACACTGACCCCAAATGCCAGACTTGGCAGTCATTCAGAAGCCTGTCAACACATACCCTTTTCAGGTGGAAATGACTTTGTTTTATTCAACTGTGGTGTGAGTGCCTCATAGCAGATCGAAACCCTTGAGTGTCAAGGAGTGTTCAAGTAATTTAATACTGGAGTTTTACTCAGTGGCCCTGGGAGATGGCAATCGTGTTTATACCCTGCACTTTCGGAGGTAACGGGGACAGTGAATCATTTTGCCTTTCAAAGGAATTTTGTCCAAATGTGTCTTAACTTTTTAGTCAGTGACAGGGATTTAAATGAATTTCAAATTGAGTTTTCTCCTGAAGATTAGTTTGCAGTTAATTAGCATGCTTTCTCCACCCGTCCTCAAGGAAGAGACCTAAGCCTAATTAAGGAGGGAACCCGAGCCCGAGGGGAATGTCGGGTTGAGGTGGATCAGCAGCCAGCTTGGATCCAAGGACCAGCACGTGCCATCAGCTGGCCACCTTGCTCCATTATGCCTCAGAGAGGCAACCAGAGTTACCATTTTAAGGAGGGAGAGTCTCCCCAAAGACCTTGGGAAGCTGCTTAAGAGGGAAGCCATGGATAAGTCACTGGTGTGAAAAGGGGAGGCCCCTCCTGCAGCTCACTGGGCCCTTTGTCCCAGCCCTCCTTCCTAGGGAATCACTAATGTCTGCTGCCTCTTGTCTTTCAGATTCAACATGTTCAACAGAAGCCATCCCCAACCCAGCTTAAATTATATAGAAAATAACTTTGTTCAAATCTGCGTGGTGCTTCTTTAGTAAATACTGTACAGATTTTACCATGGAGAACTTTTTTTTTAGTTTTTACCTTTTCTTAATTGCCCTTATTCCAAATGGATGAACACTTTCTACAACTGCTGACCATTGTAGATACCGTGTATATAAATCACATTGAAAATAATGCCCTGGAATAGAACATCTCAAATGCTGCTTAATTACAGACTCAGGTTGATTACTTGTATTTCATGTAATGTTCCTCCAAGTTAGACATCTGGTGCAAGACCAACCGGGAAACCATGGAATTATTAAAGTACAAACAACTGACAGTGTGTGTATTTAATTTAAAGACTTATTTAAAGATTCACAGCTCTCAACTAGACTTTTGAGAGAAGTCTGTTTTCTGTAATGTCTGATACTAGAAACTAATTTGCTTCATATTTTAGTTGTATTCAAGATGTATTTTATAGACAAGTTCTGTTTTTGAACTTTGTGGAACTATTCCAATCAATTTACCAGTTATGATGAGTATTTACATTATGAATGTATAATCCAAACATTATTTGTAAAGCCTACAGTATGTTTTTATTACCTAACCCTTTTTGATACAGTGTCTCTTGTCTTGACTATATGGTACAGGCGTCTGAGTCATCAGCTTGGTCCCTTAAAGTTCCTAGTTACAGACAAATTCATACTGTGATTTTATTTTTAATATGGATATGCTATCAAACTGTGATACACTTATAATTCACTGGTCCTGCATCAGGAGATGGAGTGGGGAAAACTGTATGTAATACAGTTTGTTATCTGAATAATCTGTATGGTTTATACAGTTTGTGTTGTTCAGAGATGTCTAAAGTTTGATCTTTGTTTTTTTAAAGATTAAAAAGCACTTGCCCCACTGTAAATATACAGCATGTGAAATTTATATAGTATATAAATGGCAGCAAATTCAACATTTTGTGTCTTATTTTTTACTGCTGGTTTCCCATTTGCTTACAGACACTTCTACCTGACTTCCTCTACTTCCTCTCTCTCGTTCACCTCCTTAAGCAGACAGAGGCCAGCCTGCCCGCAGACATTCCAGTGATCAGAGCTGGAGAGCAGGTTGCTGGCTCCAACAGCAGCTCTGTTCTAAAGAACCAAATCTTAGACGATCTTGCTTAACAATACGTTTGATTTTTTTATTGCGTGAACACGGTATTTGCAAGAGAGCGTTTATAGCCATACAGTCTCCAACTTTACTTACTATTCACTTTACAACAAAATATCAAGATACAGAATATTTCTTCATGCAAGTTGTGGAAGTATATACACTGAATAACATTCCAGAAATCCATATATATGTACATTAATTATTTACATACTATATTTACTGTAAATAGAAATGTCTTCTAAGAAAAAATAAGAAAACGAGAAATCACAATTTGTGGTTTCTGGTCTACCACAGACCTAAACTTCTCAGCAAGCATATCTGTGTAGATATATGCATTTGTAACTTTAAAAATATGCATTGCTTTATGTGAAGCACTGAGTGCTGCTTCATGGTGAATAGCTCCTATTTGGACTCAGTTTGGTACCACATATAATTGTTCAAAAGTGTTACCTGACCCTGAAGAAATCCGGTCCTCCTCGGGGGCCCAGCGAGAGAGCCCGGTGAGGCTGTGGACACTGCAGGCGCCACTGGGCACTCCTCTTTACTGCCTCCTACTCCCTGTCTCTGGAGGAGGCTTTTTCTTTGGCCAGACTTGAAGCTAATGATTCAAGCACTGAGTGTAGACACTGGGCGGGGAGGATGAACATGACTGATCAGGCTCAAGCTCAGGCAGGAAAACCAGGCCTGCCCACGCGAGGAGATGAAACTGTCGCCTGGCCTCCGGCCACCGGCACACAGCCCCGGCCTGGCGGGCTCTCTGGAACGGGCCTGCCTGGGGATCGGTGGGCACGATGGCTTTGTGCCCACTGTGTTAATACTGTCACAAGACCTGGAATTAGATGGCTTCATGTAACACTCGGATGGATGGCAAACTACACAGACTGTAGCACCACGTGTTCTGCACGGCTCCTGTGAGCAGCCTTGGTGATGATGCTCCCTCGCAGATGACGCAGCAGAGAAACAGACTTCATCAGGTGTCTCCTTCATGCTTGCTTTTCCCAACACCACTCTGAGGCCAAACCCCAAACACAGCAGCCCTGTGCCCCCAGGGTCATATCTGGGGTGAGAAAGTCAGGAGAAAGTGTTTTTTCTTGCGTGAAACACTGACCAAGCTGGCCCACACTGGCCCTGGACATCCTCACCAGCTTTGGGTCTGGTGGCCCAGGCAACTTTCCTGTGGGCTGGAAGACCGGAGGCCAGAGTTGCATATATACCAGTCAGGCTGCCCGAGAACGCCGACTGTTGCCTTTCTCAAAAATGAAAGTTTTGAATTTGAGGTATCAGTACAGTAACAAAGCCTAAAAATCTGGGAATGAACCAAAAAAACAGGTTTGATGCATAGTGGAGAGTTATGGGCTGGGCACCCCTGCAGTCCAGGGTGACTTAAAGCTACACCGAGGTCAGCTACTCGGAGGCAAAGGCCAGCCACTCAGTCCTAGCATCAAGGCAACACATAAGGCTACTCAAAACGAAAACAAGTGCATACGATCTGAGGTTTTCTTTCTCCAGCTTTCATTTTGCACAGAAGTTATGGCACATAAAGGGTGCGGATTCAAGGACTGTCAATGCAAACGGCAGGTGGACAGGAAGGCCTGTGCGGGGAGGCCCAGCACCAAGGCCGTCCAGTGACAAAGCAGTCACCTGTGCACGAGGCCCTGTGTGTTACGTGTCCTGGATGTGGACGTAGCTTACATTAGGGAAGGAAGCTGCATCTGTCACCCAGCCCCTTCCTGAAGGTCCAGAGTGCTGCTCAGAGCCCCAACCACTCAGCATCCTCAGTCCAGGTCTGGGTGACCCGACCACATCGGGGCTGAGCCCCCTCACAAAGCAGATGCACTGCGCACCCACCACCGCCGTGGGCAGCACCTTCCCGGCCTCCTGGGTGGCCTACGTGGGCTCACACTGCTTACAGAAGACCCAAGTGCCACACTGGTTTGGTCTAGACAAGGTATGTGTATGTGAAATGACACATCCAGCCTGGAGTTTGCTCTTTCCCTCCTCATAATGAGACGAGCTCTCCGAAAACATGGTCTTGTATTAGAGGAATACGACTTCTTATTTCTAGTTATTTACATGTCTCTTCATTACAGTAAGAAATTTGGTCAGATTATTGTAAGGTCAGTAAAATTAATCATTCATTTTGCTGACAAGTTTTAAAGAGAAGAATGTGGTCAAAAGCCAGCCTGACGCATACTTGGTTGAACCATATGGAACTGCACTCTGTGCAGGTCAAACCAGCCACACCAGCAGTTTCGTGTGGTTCAACATACAGCCTCTGCGTCCAGGGAAAAAGCTGTCTCCCAGAATTCAGCAGTTACAGCATAAACATCCCCCCAAAAAACATAATTTATACTGAACAATTTACTTTCCAGAAAGTATTTGAAAAAGTATTTGTGGGGCAAAAAAAGTCAAAGTTTTAAGAGCAGTACCAGGTGTCACACCTGGGGCCCTGCTCCTGGCTGCCCTCCCTCCCCCCTCCCTGCCAAGTGCTCGTCCTCCCCCAAGGACCCCAGGCCCCCCTCTGGGAGGTGGGGAAACCATGCCATGGCCCCCACGCCTCTCTCCCTCCCTGACAATGGCGAGTGAGTCGCAGCACCGGCTGGTCAGCAACAGCCCCCCAAAGTGCAAATGCCTCTCCCTCACCAAACCCCTTTGGGCGCTGCATATGTATTTTTTCAGTGCATGGTATATACTTGTGTCCTGGAGTTAAATTTATAGCTGCCATTCTAAAAATACTACTGTTAGAAAGTAAGAATCTTTCATCATAATTTCAGAATATAAAAAAGCATATAAAAGCTATAATCATATATTTGAGAAAAAAATTCTGAATAAAAAAGTGGTAGCTTTTCCTTTCCTGTGTTGCTATAAAACAGTGGCTTCTGGAAGGGCTGACGTGGCACAGCTGGTGGCAGCGCGGTTCCCGTCTAGAGAAAAGGAGCCCTGTGCTGGCGGGCGCGCAGCACTTCTGACAGCTCCACCAGGCGCTGCTGTGGAGAAAACTGATAAGGGCGTGTTTGGACATCTCCCACGCGGGTGATGAGGGTCAGCAGGAAGGGAGGTTTTCTGGAACCTCACCAGCAACAAAGATCCCAGACCACGGCACTCCTAAGGCTTCAGAGCGTGCAGCTTGGTTCACTACACCCGACCCCAGAGCACTCTTCATTTGCGAAGCCGTGAGCACGACACAGAAACCACTGCCTCCTGGCCACGCCTTCTGGAAAACGCTCTAAGGAGGTGTGATCCAAGGTGTCACGGGGAGGACGCTTCAGTCACTGTTTGCTGTGGGGTTTTGGTTTTTACTTTTACCTGTTGAGCCAGGAAAGCTCTTATTTTTTATTGGCAATCCTTCTTTTCCTTGTTGCCAGCATGTCATAGAAAGGATCCCTACTGATACTTGCTCTGATGAAAAAAAGGGAAAAAGTCAGGTTAGACCCATGCATGGGGCTGTGCGGTCTGTAAGACACAGTGCCCCCACCCATCAGCCTAGTCGTCATCAGACGAGCAGAGCCAAATCTTTGAGAGCTGATGTCTCCTTAGAATTTCTGGAAACAAAAGGGTTCATTCACTCAGGCAGGTAGGCACACACACACACACAAGCACACACTCTCCAACTTAACTGTCAGAAAGAAACAGCCCTGAAGCCTCTGCAACCCTGCGGAGCACCTCACTCACTTGATGGACTTGATCCACTCCTCCTTCTCCTCCGGGGTCGGGGCAGAGATCCGGTACACCACATGGTTCCCTTCTACCACGCGGCCATCAGCTTCTGTCTTGCAGGCTTTGATAACTTGCCCTTTGTGGCTTGGGTTATAAAGCTCAAAACAGTTCTGGAGGAGGGCAAAGACAAGGGAGGACATCACCCAAGGGCTCGGGGGAGGATCGTAAATGCCTAGGTTCAGGCCCCTTCCCTCAGCACTGCCAGCATGAGAGGGTCGAGCGTGTTGAAAGAGAGAATTTGACAAGAGAAAGCCATCCATCTTACCGGTTTCCGCGGGTCTTCCACCTCTCGGATGCTGAGGTTTTCCAGTGGAATAATTCCCCGGGGCTCCTTATCCTACAAGAGAAAGGGGCGCATCTAGACCCACTCAGGCTATTGGCCTGGAGGATCCGTCTCCATCTAGAGTGGGTGCCAGTCACCACGGGGGGACAGGCAGGACCCGAGCTTGCTCTTACTGTTGTGTACTCGAAGTAGTAGAGGCAGTTGTCCGTCAGGATGAACCAGCGCCGCTTCCAGGTCTTCACGCGGCCTCCTGCAAGCAGAAGGTCTCATGAGTCAGACGATGGTGCAGGCCAAGCACCAGGGCCCAACGGCTGAGGGGGTCCCGGGAGTTAAACAAGTTAATGAATTTTCAGAAATGCCACCAGGAACCAAGCTTGGTTTTAAGCTTTCCTTCTCATGAAAGTGTTTGACATTCAGACTGACAATCAGAAAAGTCCTGAGCTAGCCACACTGACCTGGCTGTTTAAGTCCATCTGATCCCCTGTGCCACCGGCTGGAAAACTGGCTGACACAGGGCACTGCTGGGGCCCCTGGCATGCACCCCCAGATCCCCTGGATAATTCAGTCATCTTCAAATCTGCTTCCCAGCAAAGTCAGTCATAATGGATGGGCTTAATTTCCTCACATGGAGATGACCATATGATGCAGTCATGGCCCACTCACCCCAGATCTTCTGTGACCTAATCCTATTACACCAGGGTGGTTATCGCATTATGGAATACTTGGGGCGGCCCTGGAATCCATCACAATCAATTACCCCTTGCCCAGGGAATTATTAGATTGAACTAATCTTGTAACAAGATCTGAAACACACGTGAACACGCCTCACTCAGCTCCTCTGACAGACTCCTTTCACTAAACGAAAAGGAACTCTCTTTTACCCATAAACATGCAGCAGAGACAAACTGGCTTCAATTTCTTGCCCTTGCTGCTGACGTGAAGGTTTTTGTTTTTTTTTTTATTAAGAGAAAAACATGCTGTGGGCAACAAATTCAAGGGAGACACACGGTCCAAGGCGGAAAATGACTCTCCAGGCCCCAGGGGCACCCAGCGCTGAGGGTGCTGACGTTCTATGGGCACCGCCCAGGTTCTCAGGGCACACAGGCAGTGCAGTGCTGTCAGGGTGAGGGTCTGCCCTCAGGGCCAGGGCCACCCCCCCCACCACCACATAGAGACCATGAGTCAGTGCAGTGCAGTTGAGAGTGAGGTGAGGTGAGGAGACGTGTGGTAAAGTGAGGTACATTCTAGAAGCCACACAGTGTGCTTGGGGGACAGGACGACAGGAGGCCTTCTGTGCGGGTCACATGGCGAAATGAAGAGACGCTCTGGATGGAACCCCTGGAAGCCAAATGTTACCCAGGGCTGGGGCAGGAGGGTTAATGTGGCCTCTGACGGGGCTTCAGTTTGCAGACAGCCAGGGTAAGAAGACAGAAACAAGAGAAAATACAGCAGGTGTGCAAGGTGCACAGGAGCCCCGCTGCCTTTCCTTGTGTTTCCGGGCACTGGGAAGGCCTCGCCCTGCCTCACAGACCAGCCCCAAACGGCTCATCCTTCTGATGTCTAACAGGTGGCTCTCTGATTGTGGCCTAGAGAGGCGTGGAGAGCTCCAGCACCAGGGTGAGCCAGGGCTGGGCTCAAGGCTGCTCTGTCCACCCTGCCACTCGCGGGCCCTGAGAAAATCCCACTCTGGCGCCCCCCACACCCCTCACCAAGGTCCGCACCCACAGAAGCACGAGGAGGAAAAGCATTAGCCACATTGTAGGAGTCATGGCTCTGAGACATGCTCTGGCAGGAAGGTGCAGTCCCCTACCTCCTTCTCTTGCCCAGGGAATTATTCCTGTCAGGAGGGTCTGTCTGAACACCAGGCTGGCCATGGCCTGGCCCAAGATTCCCTCAGGCCCTCCCTCAGGCCGCCTCCCAGCCAGGGCTCCCAGCCTGGGACACCCCATCCCCTGACCCCATGGCCCGCCCCCTCCCAGTCTCCTGCCTGTACCTTGGCTGCTCCATGTTCTCTGGACCAGCGCAGCCTCACCAGGGCTCTCGGCATCTTGCTGGGGTTCTCTGCTCACCCCAGACAGGCCTGTCCATTTTCCCCCCAAGACCAGCACAGGCCCGGGTTCCCTGGCGGCCCCCGGCCCCACACTGGCCCTCTCTGGCCTTCCACCTCCCCTGGGGCATCACACAGGGGAGCTCAACCTTGTCCCCAAGTCCCGGGTGACAGGCGACAGAGACATGTGCTAAGGACCTAGAAGCCACAAAAAAAAGGAGGACACAGCTGATGGGTTCCAGGTGCTTCTCAAGCTGAACTCTTGTGATCCTGAACTCACCCAGCTCCGTCCCTCACACTTCCTCCCTTGGCACCCCACTTGCACCCGCCTCACTCTGTCCCTCACATTTCCTCCCTGGGTGCTGATGGGGCAGGGTGTTTTCTCTGGCCTCAGGGCCCTGCTTGCCCCTCCTACCGGCTCCCACACAGCACCAGAGGCATCTTTTGAAAAAAAAATAAATTGGCCGAGTGGCTCCCTGCTTGAAGTCCCCCAGGGCTCCCTCTGCTCTCATCATAAGACCCAAACTCCCTAAACTCCCTCAAGGCCTCCCCTGAGCCTCGGCTGCACCTTCTCTAAACTCAGTCTCCAGCCAGTTCTCTAGGATCCTTCCCAGGCACCCTGTCTGCGAATCATATCTACCAGACGCTCTCATCATAACGCGGGATCAGGTACCGCCTGTGGGTTTTGCTCACCCCTGGGCCCCACTACCCTGTGCCCATCGCTAGGCCCGTACCACCAACTCCCAGGAGAAAGGGCTCTCTGCTCCTTGCACCCTGACTGCTGGCCCCTGTTCTCAAATTCAGTGGCACATCCTGGAGGGTCCAGTCCCTGGTCCCCATTCTCAAGGCCAGGGGAGCCTCATAGGCCTGGGGGATAAAGGCCCGGCCCAGGGCACCCTGTCAGCCCCAGGAGGGGTTGGGACAGTGCCTTGATCTCAGGGCTAAGCTACAAGAAGAGACTGTGCCGTGCAGGTTTCTGGCTGACGTTATGAGACACCTACACACACACCACCCACACGCAGACACTACACACACGCACACCACCCACACGCAGACACCACCCACACGCAGACACTACACACACGCACACCACCCACACGCAGACACACCACCCACACGCAGACACCACACACACACACCACCCACACACCACACACCACCCACACGCAGACAATACACATACGCACCACCCACGCGCGCCACACACCACTCACACACGCCTCTGCCAAAAGAAGCCTGGCTTCCCTGAAACTGGGGCAGCACCTGCTTTCTTGTCATTTCCCTCCTACTTTCACTGCTGTTATCAGGCGGGAGCGTGCACACCCACGACAGCTCAACTGAGCACACGCCTGCGTGCATTTTTAACACAACGGATTCTCAGGACTTGAGGCGGGGCCGTAATTCACTAACAGTCCTCACCAGGCCCTGCACACTGCACAGGAAAGATGAAGCGCCTGCCTGGCAAGGCATCCAGGGATTGTCAAAGTGCCACCTGGTTTCAAATTTAACTGTCTAGGAGGATGTAATTCAGCAAGGTCACACTTGGGGCCTCCTGTGCCCTTTGTGCACATGCTTGGAGACAAATGTTTTAGTTTCTAAGCCTGTTTTGTGCATCTGGCCAAGCGCCTGCCCTGTGCTAGGGGACTCTCTCCAGTGACCGGGAGCTGTGAGGGAGGCCTGGAGCCGGCTGTCCTTACTAACGACACACACCACCTTCAGGGCAGACCTGTGGCCTCCTCGTCCCCTCAGCTGTCTCTGAGGCCAAGCCTGGGTCCAGATGGCGACACTCTGGGCCCTCAAAGCTGCCGGGATGAGGCCTCCGGACCAAGAGTCTCTGGGTGCTGAGAGCTGCATGGTTCAGCAGGGTGGGAGCCTGGACACAGCCACTGCTGCTGACCCACCATGTGGGACAGACCACGCCAGCCTCTGGCCTCTGGTTTCACTCCTGAGACCAGGGCAAGAACAGAGGCTGCCTGGGTCAGACGGAGGTCCAGGAAGACAAAGGTACAATGGGGTAGCCTGCACCCCAGGGGCTCTGCCTGGCGTAACTTTCTGCATCTGCTGGTGTCCTGGTTCGTCCCTGGTATTGTTGCTAATAACGATGCCAACTCCGCATTGTGCTCTTTCAAGATCTATCTATGTGGGATCAAACTGACAACAACTCAAATAGATAGGAATCTTAGGGAACAATGAGTTTATGTTAATGGTGGACGAACAACTCAGAAAAGGAGGGTGAGATGTTTACACAACTGGAAGAATGGAATCAATGTCACTGAAGAGTACGTGTAGGCACATGTTGAATTGGTGTATGTTTTGCTGTGTATATTCTCAGTAACAATAATAGAAAAATAAAATAAATTATTAAAAAAAAAAAAAAGACAACGCAGCCCCTCAAATCTTCCCTGGCGATCCATCAGCACGGTGGCTTGGCTTATGAGGCCATTGTCCACCAGGGAGCGCCCTCTGCAATGCAGGGCCAGAGGGCAGGGTCTCATCAAATGCACCCCCACTCACTCTGCCTGCCCTCCTTCCCCTGCCTTCACACCAGAACCACAGGCTGTCTGACATTTGAAACGATGGTGTCCGTCTGAGGTTACTTATGCCTCCAAGTCCCATGGCTACCGCTATGAGGTTTCTAGCAAAGATCCAGACTCTGCTAAACTGGTGCAGAGCCGGGGAAGGGTCAGAAGAGCAAGGCGACCTCGAACTGGAACGACAGGCACTGGGCTCCCAGGGGAGTGCCCCACCCATGCTCACACCCTCACAATTCACCACGGCTGTTTTCTCCTCCTTGCTAAAAAACTACAGAGTTCTCACTGCCCTTAATATCTTACACGCCACAAGAAACATCTGCTCTCAGAAATGCCTTGATGGAACAGTTGTCACAGCTTGCAGTTTAATGTTAACAGGAAGGCAAAAATCCCAATCCCCACAGTCAAAATGACCTCTGAAAACTCCTTAAACCACCCATAAAGCATAAGGGGGCCATTAGGACCTGGGGTCTTCCCGAGGCGGCAGGTGGGCACTGCGTGGTGGGTGTGAGGGAGGAGACCCGTGACGCTGAGGGGTGGCGCTGGTTCCTGGCCGTCCCCAATGCCCTACAGAACTGCAGGGAGTTGAAGCTATCCCCGCACAGCATGCCATGTGCTTCTGAGGCATCACAGCCACCCTGACCCTGCCCTGTCGGTCGCCACACGCTGGAACCCCAAAGCCGAGCCCAGCATGTCGAGGCTACAGGGTCGGATGAATAGCGGCCGTCACCCGAGCTTCGCACAAGCTAGCAAGGTGAGAGGAGACCAGGAGAGAAATGAGCAGCTGAGACAGAGGCAGGAAGCCACTGGGTACGTACCTCCTAACGCAGAACAAGCAGGGACAGCCCGTCACAGAACAGAAAGGTGGGAGCCACAGGCAGAAGGAAAACAACAAGAAGGCACATTTAAACCACGCATCAAAATCACAGCCACGCCAAACCAAGAGAAAGGCACACAGAGGTCTTTGGAGGTAAACGCACTTGCTTCGGGTACAGAAAACTGACTTGGACTTGTATCTAGACAGGAGCTGAGCCGCGTGCTGGGCAGCTTCCGCGCAGCCGGGTGCGCCTGTCTGCCCTGTTCTGGAAGGCCTGCTCAGAGGGGCAGTCACGACTCTGGGGTGTCAGCCACCAGGAGCACTCATGTGCTCGGCTGTGCTCCTGACCCTGCTTTCCGCTTAGGGGCATTGGCTACAAGGTCACTGAGGGCCATGGGCTGGGGGATGACCGCGGGCCACATGGCAAAGTGCCCGCACTCACCCAGCTTCAGGAGCCAGCCTTCCCGGTCGGGGTTGAAGAACGTGTGAGTCAAGTCATTCCCGTCATCCTCTGGGATCTTAAATGGCTCATTCTTAATACTTTCATATAAATTCTGTAAGGAGGGGAAAACAGCAGCAAATCCAGAGTTCACAGGGGAGAAGTCACTTGCCTTCTCTCAGATCAGGAAGAAGGGTGAGGCTCAGCAGGGCCAGAGAAGCGAAGAGACACTAAGAACACGCTTAAAAGAAAGAAGTGGCATTGCCAATTTGCACAGACAGAATCTGATAATCCTGAAAATTGACAACAAGGTCAGGGATAGAGAGGAAGGAGGACGGCTGTCGTAGGTGTCCTGAGTTGGCTCTGAGGTTGCCCGATCCTGTGCTCAGACGCACGTTCCTGCGACACTCACCCTCAGCAGCTCCTCTGGAAGGTCCCCTCCCTCGTTGATGCCGCGGTTCATGGTGATGAACCGCTCTGCCGTGGGCTTGTCCCGCACGTTGTGGTTGTGGAGGCTGGTGTTGAGCATGATGATGGCGAACGACAGCACATAGCAGGTATCTAGAACACATTCGGAGGACGCCCGAGAGGCTGCAAACAGATCTGCACGTGCTCTAGAATTTCTACATCAGGGAGGAGTGCCCAGGAGGACCGACTGAGCGTCCTGGCGGGACAGCTCCACTGGCTACCTGGGCAGGCCTGTGGCAGACAGGGACAAGAGTAGACTGTCCTGGCTCAGGGCCGAGGCAGAATCTTCTTAGCAGCCTACAGCAAACAAACCCCGGGCGAGCCAGGGGCCTTCTGAGAGGGCAGAGGGAGGCTGTGTTAGCACTGACCTGTGGACTGGAAGACCCCGGGATTGCACAGGCAGTAGCGTGAAGCAAAAGCCTCCATCATGCGGTCGATTTTCTGAGCCTCCCCGGGAAGCCGAAAGCTCCACAGAAACTGCCTGCAGAGAAAGAGACCCAACGCCCAACAATGCATCAGGTAATGGCGCATCTCCACGGACCTCGCTCTCTGTGCTGGAGATGGGCCCTGGGCCTGCATGTGCAGTCTGCACCCTCCTCCTTCTCCTCTGCCTGTGGCCTGCTCTGGCAGGGACGCGGAGGAACAGAGTAGGCAAGGAGGGAGACTCAAGATCTTTTTCTTCCATCAGTAACTCAAAACCGACCTTTACCTGGTGGCTACAGCCCTGTCACCTCTGCCTTAAAAATGCACCAAGAATCTCAGCGCCCCTGCCCCTCCACTGCCGCCGTCACCTTCGCCCGCCCACAGGATGGCCAGGGCCTGGCACATCCCCTGCCGCTCCCCGAGTCATTCCTCACGCAGCAGCCCAGTGACCCTGACCGTGTAACCGGGCCACACTCCTCCACCCATGACCCCACCTCGCTTGGGAAATCTAAGTCTGCAGATGGCGTCCGGGCTCCTCTCCCACCTACCCTCGGCCAGTTTCCCTACCCCGCCCTCCCGCCTCTGCCTCAGGGCTCTTCCCCAGGGGTCTGGCCCAGGTGAGCTGACAGCTGCGTCCTCACACCTTTGGGTTCCTTTCTACCCAGTGGGCACCATCTCACAGAGTCTTCGCCAGCCACCCCTACCCCGCTCACTCCTGAGCCCTCCTCTGCTTTGTCACCATGGCACCCTAGGATCTCCTTACTGTCACCTGCCCCACTGGCCCCACCCTGCAAGGCCTCTGTCCAGCATGCCCCATGGTGCTCCGCGCATGGCCGACGTTCCAGTGGCTTTAGCAGAGGGGCAGGGCTGAGGTTAGATGAAAGGCTTGGTGACAATGGACTGTCTGCAGTTTGAAAGCCTCCATCCACAGCCATCAGGTGAGAGGGGAACGCTGCCCTGCCTGGTCCCCTCCACTCCCTCTGGGTGCTCCCCTTCTCTGCATGCCCCTGATGAGGGGGGCTGCCCTGTGCCTTGCTCTGCTTCTTCTCACCCAACTCTCTCTCTGGGGACTGTGGCCACACTCAGGCCACCTCTCAGCTAGCACTCGCCTCCTCGGCCCTGGCCGCTCCGAGTCGTCAGACTAAAACCCAAGCTCCTGAGTGTGAGAGGAGCCCTCCCACCCAGCTGTGTCTTTACCACCCGCTCGCACCTCTGTGGTCCGGCACCGGCCAGGCCTCGAGTCCGCTGTGCTGCTCCCCTGCCTGCCTGGCCCAGCCGACCTGGATTCTCCCTGCCGGCCTCAGCGTCCCCACAGCCGGTGCTACCATCTGAGCAGACCCCACACCCGCTCCCAGGCCCACTCTCCTCCTGGCCTCCTTCTCTGCACGCCTCGAGCCAGTACGGCTGCCAGCACAAGGGCAGGTGTGCACTGTCAGTGTGGGTGAGGGTGAGCCGCATCCACACTGCCTCCACCGTCTGGGCGGGGCCGTGACTTCTGGGGGTCGCCTAGGGCGCCCTGCCAGGTGGGCCTCAAGGACAGGCACGTGGCAGGAGGGACAACAGAGGAGCTGCGGACACATACAGAGCCCAGACCTCCCCCCTCCAGGCCTGCTGCAGGGCCATGCCGGCCCCCAACACTTGCAGCATCTAGTTAAGACTCTCCTACAGCTCTGGTCCGGAGACTATCAACAACCGTGCCATGGACACACCTCCCAGACTAGCCCCCTAGGTCTGCCCCTTTCTCAAAAGTTTTCAAAAATTGAACCTAAAAACACCTATGGCTGCAGGAATCGTGTCTGTTGCTAACTGCTGGCACACGGTCCAGCCCCAGGCTAAGCAGCACATGGGCACGCATGCCAACAACCCAGTCTGCTGCTGAAGTGAGGCTGCGAGGAAGAGACTGACACTGCAGCAAGCAGCACGCGTAGGGGGAGGTCTAGACCATGAGATGGACAAAACGTGTGGACTCTGCTCATTCGGGCACAGCCTGCCCATGAGCTCATGGCAGAGCAGCTCACGGGCAGCTCTCAGGGTGAACGCGGGGCCAAGGGGCCCCTGCCCAATGACTTCCACCAGACCAAGGGCCATCATGTCTGGGTCCAGACATGCAGGAAGGAAGCAAAGGAAGGAAAGAGGAAAATGTACCAGAAGAGCAACCAGAGTGTGCATCCAGAAGGGCCAGCTCCCTGCCCTTGTGGCCAGGCTGCACCACGGACGGCTGTGTGGGGACCGGACCCATGAGAGGGTATGGGAGCCAATCCTCCAGATCCACCCTGGCGTGATGTGTGGGGACACCTGGCTCTCCTCTGCTGGTGGGAAGTCTATATCTGGGGCTGAGCAGACACCTCCCTGGCACACTCAGTCGCATCCATACCGATGGCATTTGAAGCCACATCTGGCGGGAAGTGGGCCCGCGCCTGTCTGAGCTCCGACTACAGAGCAATCAGCAGACGTGGGAAGAGAGCACGTGACACAACTGTCAAGCACCACTAAAAACAAAGCACAGCAAAGAAGCTATGACCAGGATGTGGCGCCAGCCGTCACCATCCATCCGTAAGTGAGCGAGAGTCTTGACGTCCCTCGGGGCTGCTGAACGCGCCTGCAGCGTTTTCATAAGGAAAACCAGTGTTTGCAGAGACACACGGAACCTTCTGAGTTACCAGGAGTGAAGGCGCAACCACTACTGTCCACACACCCATTCTCTCACCTCCCCACCTTTCTTGTACCCAATACGCAATTAAAGACTTACCTTAAGGCTTGTACGAGGTTGAGATCAGCAAACTCATGGAGTTCAACAAAAGCCTGAAGAACTTTAATATTAAATTCATCCCTAGGAAAGGAAGGAAATAAGTTTTAAGCCCAAGGCATATTATTTCAATCGTTTTAAAGGAAAGGCATTTCCTAAAGCAGGTTTTTGTGGTTTTGAATTTAGTATGACTAAAAGTTTTTTTTCACGGTAAATTTGCTTTTAGGCAAGAAGATATTAACAGTTTACTTCGGAATTGCTAAGATTCAAAGCAATAGGACCATCATAAACCCCCAAATAATATAAGCCCAGCCAATGTTCTAAGCGCTTCCCAGGTGCTAAGTTCTAAGGCACTGTTCTGGTGCTCAGCACTGGACCATTTCTCTCTTCACCTTCAAGACAATCCTATGAAGTAGGTGCTCTTCTTATTCCCATTTCACGGGGATTTTGGAACTCAGGAAGCTACCATAACACACCCAAGGTCAGAAACCATAAAGCAGATACTGAGCTCAGAAAGGAGAGTCTGGGGAAGAGGTAATATCTTACATTAGCATTTAAAAGGTGTAAATGGATTTATTTTTATTTAAAAATAAAAGGTGTAAAATTTTACACAAACAAAATTGTAAAGATGAAACAAAAAGTAGAACCGAGCAACCGAAACAATGTGGCTTCGTTGGAATTTTAACTCAAAGCTGCTCCCAGGATCCCTGGTCAGAGAGGCTCACAAAGGGAACCTCAAGTCAGCTGGCATTCTGATGGGGACCGCACTGAATCTGTAGATCAACCTGGGGAGTATCGCCATGTTAGCAACATTAAGTCTTCTGATCCATGAACATGGGATGTCTTTCCATTTATTTAGGTCTTCTATCATTTCTTTCAACAGTGTTTTGTAGTTTTCAGTGTACAAGTCTTACACTTCTTTATGTTAAATATATTCCCAAGTATTTTATTCTTTTTGATGCTATTGTAAATGGAAGTGTTTTCTTAATTTCCTTTTCAGTTTTCTCACTGCTAGTTATGGAAATACAACTTTTCTTCCCCCTGTTAAACAGTGTTTAATATGCATAGAGGTATTTACACATTTCACCAACTGCCTAGCTAATGCATGCCAGAATGGGAAAACACTTTTGTCCCTGCTAGGATTTTTTTTTTCCTGTACAAAAACTTATACATACATAGTTATGTGACCCTAACTGTTCTCCCCATACTATGACAGCACACTCCTCCTTTCCACCCCGGATTCCCCATGTCCATTCAACCAGCTCCTAACCCTCTCTGCCTTCCCATCTCACCTCCGGACAGAAGCTGCCTGTTTAGTCTCTTGTATCTACTTGAGCTAAGAGGCACACTCCTCAAGAGTATCACTTTATGTCCCACAGTCCAGTCCAATCCCTGTCTGAAGAGTTGGCCTCGAAAATTGTTTTAGTTCTGGGCTGATAGAGAATCCAGGGACCATGCTTTCTGAGGTACCTCCAGTCTTAGTCAGACCATTAAGTCTGGTCTTCTTACTAGAATTTGAGTTCTGCACTCCACCCTTCTCCTGCTCCATCTAGGACTCTCTGTTGTGATCCCTGTCAGGGCGGTTGGAAATACAACTTTTTAAAAAAAATAATACTTTACTGTGTTTTCAGTGAAAGTTTACACAGCAAATTAGGTACCCATTTAACAATTTTTACATAATTTGTTCAGTGACACTGGTTACCTTTTACACGGTGTGTCAACTTTCTCATGATTTCCATTCCGTTTGTTCTATTTCTAGTAATCTAGTTTCCCTGCCCCCTTGCCTTCTTGTCTTTGCTTTACAGTAAGTGTTGACCGTTTGGTCTCATATAGGTGATTTCTTAAAAGAGTACAGTACTCATAGGTGATAGTTTATGAGTTAATCTGTCACTTAGCTAAAAGGTTATCTCATGGAATAGTTTTTTTTGTTATCATTGTATATTTTAGCATTATAGCAGTCACATACACAAATAACAATGAATTTTGCATATTTATTTCACATATACAATTGTTGTTGTTGTTAGGTGTCATTGAGTCGATTTCGACTCACAGCGATCCTATGTGACAGAGTAGAACTGTCCCATAGGGTTTCCTTGGCTGGAATCTTTATGGAAGCAGATTGCCAGGTCTTTCTCCCAGGGAGCTGCTGGGTGAGTTTGAATCACCAACCTTTCGGTTAGCAACCAAGTGCTTAACCAATGCACCCCCAACTTACTACTCCTGGTAATTTTTGACAGATTCCTTTTAATTTTCCAGTGATAAACTGGTTAAATCTACAAAAAGTAAAATTTTTATTCCTTCATTTCCTTTTTTATAATTATTTTATTGGTTTCTTGAATAGTAAACCAAGAAACCAGTTGCCATTGAGTCAATTACAACTCACAGCAACTCCATGTGTTACAGAACAGAATGTGTGATGGTTAAGATTGCGTGTCAGCTTGGCTCGGCCATGATTCGCAGTGTTTATATGTGATCACTCCCATGATTAAGTATGCTGTGAGTAGTCAATCAGATGAAAGGGAGTTTCCTTGAGGGTGTGGCCTGCATCTGAATACAAGCAGATGTTCTGGCTTTTTGCTCACTCTGGATCCTGCGGCTGCCTCCTGTTGTCTCACCTCTGGTTCTTAGGGCTTGAGCTGTCAGCTTATGTGCCGAACTTGGAATTCGTCGATCTTCACAGTCTGTGAGCAGAGCCCTGCTCTCTGACCTGCCGACCTTGGGCTCGCCAGCTTCTGTGGCTGCATGAATTGGGAGAGGCCTCTACCTTGATCCACAGACTTAGGACGGTCTAGCCTCTACAATCACATAAGCTGTTTCCTTGATATAAATCTTCCTCTATATATATTTATATGCTTTACTGGTTTTGCTTCTCTAGAGAACCCAGCCTAAGACAGAATGGCTTCACAGAGTTTTCAAGGCTGTGACCTTTCAGAAGCACATCACCAGGCCTGTCTTCTAAGGCGCCTCTGGGTGGGTTCAAACAGCCAACCTTTTGGCTAGTAGTCGAGCACTTAACCATCTGCACCACCCAAGGACTCTTCTTTGAATAGTAACTGGGACTTTTTTTCTCTAATAATTAAGCATTTTTTCCATTTCTACAAATCTTTTTATTAATTTTATTGTACTTTAGATGAAGGTTTATAGAACAAATAGTTTCTCATTGAACAGTTAGCACACATACCATTTTATGACACTGGTTAACAACCCCACAGGTCAACACTTTACCTTCTCGACCTTGGGTACCCTATTACCAGCCTTCCTGTCCCCTCCTGCCCTCTAGTCCTTGTCCCTGGACTGTTGTGCCCCACTGGTCTAATTTTGTTTTATAGGCCTGTCTAATCTTTGACTAAAGAGTGAACCTCCAGAGTGACTTCATTACTGAGCTAAAAGGGTGTCTGGGGGCCATACTCTCAGGATTTCTCCAGTCTCTGTCAGGCCAGTAAGTCTGGTCTTTTTTTGTGAGCTAGAATTTTGTTCTACATTTTTCTCCAGCTCTGTCTGGGACCCTCTGTTGTGATCCCTGTCAGAGCAGTCAGTGGTGGTAGCCAGGCACCATCTAGTTGTACTGGACTGAGTCTTGTGGGGACCATGGTAGTTGTGGTCCATTAGTCCTCTGGACTAATCTTTCTGTTGTATCGTTTTCTTCATTCTCCCTCACTCCCAAAGGGGTGAGACCAGTGGAGTATCTTAGATGCCACTCACAGGCTTTTAAGACCCTAGACACCACTCACCAAGGTAGAACGTAGAACATTTTCTTTATAAACTATGTTATGCCAATTGAGCTTGATGCTCCCCAATCATGGAATAGTTTTGGTTCAAGGTTTAAAGAGTATTTCAGGGCAACAGACTTGGGGAGTCCTCCAGTCTCAACTGGTCCAGTAAATCTGGACTTTTTAAGAATTGGAGTTCTGTTCCACATTTTGCTCCCATTCTATCAGGGTGCATCTATCATACAACTGAGTTTTATATATTGATCTTGTATCCTGCAACCTTACTGAACTCGTTTATTAGCTCTAATAGCTTTTAGTGGATTATTCAGTATTTTCTATATACAAGATCATGCCATTTGCAAATAGAGATAGTTTTACTTCTTCCTTTCCAATCTGAATGCCTTTAATTTCATCTTCTTGCCTAATTACCCTGGCCAGAACTTCCAGTACCATGTTGAAAAGAAGTGGTGAGAGCAGACATCCTTGTTTTGTTCCTGATCTTGGGGGAAACATCCAGTCTTTCACCACTAAGTGTGATGTTAGCTGTGGTTGTTTGTAGATACCCTTTATCAGTTGAATAAAGTCCCTTCTACTCGCAGTTCGAGTGTTTTTACCATGAAGGGGTGTTGAATTTTGTCAAATGCTTTTTCTGCATCTGAGATAATCACGTACTTTTTGTCCTTTACTCTATCAGTAGGGTACATTACATTAATTGATTTTTGGATCTTGAACCACCCTTGCATTCCCACTTGGTCATAGTGTATAATCCTTTTTATACAATACTGGATTTGACTTGTTAGTATTTTGTTGAGGATTTCTGCATCTGTATTGATAAAAGACATTGTCTGTAGTTTTCTTGTGATGTCTGTGTGTGGTTTTGGTATCGGGTAACACCGGCCTCACAGAATGAGTTGGGAAGTATTCCACTTTTCACTTCTGATCATGTATTTTTAGTAAAAAGCTAGAAACAGAAACCATCCTCAGTGAGCAACTGCTGGACTCTGGTTTAAAGACACTTGCTCTTGGCGCTTAATGCCTGCCTTCCCCTCTGCAAAGCAGAGTAAATGGACTTGTCAATGGTGAGGGCTAACCCGCTGATTTCCATTTAAAAAATTAATAATAACTTTTCACCTTTATTCATACCCCAGCTAACAGGAGAAAGAAAACCACTAAGAAATCTAGTGTATTTCCAGGCAAAACACCAGAAGGTTAAGTTGCTTTCCGAGATACGGAAAAAGACGCAGTGGCGTTTTCAGTTCTGCCAGAGGCCTTCAGTAGAAGATTCCAAAGACCACAGGGCCCACTTAGAACACTCTAACACCTCTCTCCTCACAAGGGCATGGAAAAGGACATGATTACACTGAGGTCACTCAGTATTGAAGAGCAACAGGTACATCCCCTCTATCCCATGGCAAAGAGACTATGAAAGACCCAAAAGTGGTGGGTGAGCCCAGGTCAGGCTGCAGGATGAGGTGGGCCTAGGGAGGACTGCTCATTCTCCTTCAACCTACCTTTCACCCAGGTAGTCCCCAATGACGGTCTTATTTAGGCCTTCTCCTTTATAAAGGAACTGGGCTACGTCTTCTGGGGAACTTTGCAGCAGGTCGTTTTCTATTAGAAACTGAATTCCCTGAAGAAGAGCATAAGAAAGGAAGCACCGGTTAGGAGAGTCACACAAAGTCATTTTCCAAATACACAAATACATTTAGTGTAATGATCTTACTGGTTTGGATACAGCAAAATAACACCACAGAGTCCCATACAACAGCACAGTCTAGTTTTCAAAACACCACATGATGTTCTACCCATCAAAGGAAAGCATATTCATTCCTCCTGGCAATTTAATAGGTTAAAAGACAAATAAATGAGCTACTGAACAAACCACTGTCAGTGGTTATTAGAGATTATAAAGGTGAAAGTACAAATACCACATATTCCAAGCTTAAGAAAAGGATTCATTTTGTATTGAGAGAAACAAATTGTACCTCGCCGGCACTGCTGGAGGCTGACCAACACTCACTCCCAACTCCCTTGTCCCTTGCAATCCTTCCTGAATAATCACTTTCCTGGCCTCCCTTGTAGGTAGAAATGACCTTGTGTCACAGATCTGGACAGACAGACATAAAGCAAGCTGTAGGGCACACCTGGGAAGGGTGATTTCTTAATCAAAGGGGACTCTGGCAGCTGGCACTGCTCCCTGTTTCTCCATCCTGCCTTGAACACAGGTGTGATGGCTGGAGCCATGACGGCCATCTTACAAGGATAGGAAGGCTAAGATGAGCCCAGAGACCGTGGTCCTGTCACTTGGGAGTCACTCAACAACACTGGTAGCCACCTACCACTCAACCAGTTGTGAGAGAAAATAACCCTCCATTTGTTTAAACGATCTGTAGCTGGACTTTCTGTTACCTGTGGCTGAACACGTTAACTAATACACTGGACCACTGAGCTTAGGTCAGTCAAAATCCATGCTCACTTTAAGAAACTAAAGAGCACAGCTGGAAACCTCTGAATGAAAGGTATCAAAGGGCTGCCACTGACCCCAGTCAGTAGTGCTCTGTCTCATGATAAGTCCTGGGGACATAGAATACTACACACATTTACTTCTCACAGAGCTCTGAGCTGGCTTCAAATACATGTTGGCAAGGCTAGTAAGGGAACAGAAAATTTTTTTATTTTCACTATTTTTTTTTACATTTATTTTGTTGTTGTTGAGAATATACACAGCAAAACATCCACCAATTCAACCATTTCTATATGTACAATTCAGTGACAGTGATTACATTCTTCAAGTTGTACAACCATTCTCACCGTCCTTTTCTGAGTTGTTTGTTCCCCATTAACATAATCTCACTGTTCTGTAAGATTCCTATCTAATCTTTTGAACTGCTGTTGTCACTTTGATCCCATGTAGATAGTTCTTAAAAGCACTTAATGGTCAAGGCAGACATCTTTTACTAGTTAAGCTAAACTACTGTTTGGTTTCAAGAAGACTTCAGGGGATATTTTTGGTTTAAGGTTTAGAGATTATCTCAGGGCAATAGTTTCAGGGGCTCATCTACTCTCCATGACTCCAGAAAGTTTGGAGTCCATGAGAATGTGAAATTATGTTCTGCATTTTCCCCCTTTTGATCAGGATTCTTCTATAGAATCTTTGATTAAAATGTTCAATAATGGTAGCCAGCACCATCTAGTTCTTCTGGTCTCATGGCCAAGGAGGCAGTTGTTCATGAAGGCAATTAGCCACACATTCCATCTCCTCCTCCTATTCCTGACTCTCCTTCCTCTGTTGCTCCAGGTGAATAGAGGGGAATATAAATGTTGTTACCTGTTTGCCAGAAGGATGCTTCTACAAACACAGAGATGTTCCTCTAGCTAAAACTCTCAGGGCCCAAGACCAGAGCTCCCTCACACTCATCTGAAGAGTCTTTTTTTTTTTTTTTAAAGTGGCCTTATTTAGAATTTCCAAAAACTGAAAACAACCCAACTGTCGATAAACACAGTCTGGTACTTTTATACGATGGAAAATTATACAGCAATGAAATGGAATAAACAGCCATACTCGGTAACATGGGTGAATCTCATGATACTGAATAAAAAAAAGACATACATGAGAATATTTTAATTCCATTTATATGGAGTGTTTTTTTTTTTTTAAAAAAAAGACTAATTACGGTGCTAGAATAGTAGTTACCTTGAGGAAGGGATATTCCCTAGGAAAAGACCCCAGAGAAGTGCCCTGAAGTCTTCTATAGCTGTATCTTGTTCTGGGTTGTGGTTTTGAGTATATTAATTTGTAAATGTTCTTCAAGCTGTACATTTAACATTTGTGTACCATACTGTACATTTAACATTTGTGCACCATACTGTAGGAGCCCTGGTGGCACAGCAGTTAAGCACATCTATGGTACTCTTCAGAAAAAAAAGCTTACCAAAAATATTAGTAAGTTTGACAATCCTAAATTAACTTATACATTTTTGGTGGAAGCTTAAACAGGTACACCCACCTCGGTATCACTTCAAAGCATGACGTATCCACCTGTCCTAGCCCCAGTTCCCTAGAAAACATGGCTGGGATGCAGACAATGGTGTTAAGGCTTTGCTTATCCGTGTTATTTGCAGAGTGTACCCAGGCATCAAGGGTGAGGAGAATGGATGTCAGTTTAGTGAAGAAGCAACATGAAGCAGTCATGTTCTTATTCATCAAGACAAGTGAGCAGCGTCTTGTCCATCAGCTACAGCACCAGGGACAGGGAGTGGATAGGCAGGGCGATGGATTCCTTTGGGGTCTGTGACTGAGGGGAGCTCTCTGGAGGTGGGCAGAAGTTAAGCCTGCTCTAAAATCTCTGGCAAACAGGTCAGAGGCCAAGGCTGCACCTGTGATGTCAGAGCCCTTGCTGGAGCTCTTGGTGCAGGACTCACAAGACTGGCTGTGGTTGGAGACGATGCATTTTGCTGCTCTGAAAATTGCAAGAAGCTGGGGAGAGGGGGTGGGAAGGAACCCAAGATCCTGGGACAAAAGGGCCAGCACAAGTAGGGGCTTTGGGGGTAAGTGTGGCTCACATCTTGGGTGATATCTGGCCTGGTGATCCCTTTTGCTGCCCCAGCAGTTTTGGAACCACCCCTACGGGCTAACTTTTACAGCCACTTCCTCCCTCTTGCTGAAGACTGAGAAGCTGATCTTCTCCAAGAGCACAGCTTCCTTTCTGCGGGCATGACTTTCCCAGGTGCCTGTGCAGAGACCCTTTCAGAGGTTCTTGCATCTTCCAATCCTGCTCTCCTTTCTCCCTCTCCTGGTGATCCGGGGTGTCTTTAACCCAGCACTCTCAGCCATCACAAGCAGAACGCTGGATCCTGCAGAACCAAGGCCCATCACCCTGCCAGCTCGCGGTCTGGCATGCCTAAGCCTCAGAGAACTAGGGGGGCTGGAGGAGCCCTTTATGAGGCTTCCGTGAGTTCTTCTGGATGCTCATGACCTGCCCTAAAAGTCAACTCTTTCCTCCAAAACTAGACAGCTTCTTGGAGAGTGCTGTGAAACAAGCTACAAGGATTTGAGGAAAGCAGCTGGAATCAGAATAATGTAATCTCTTTTGTGCTTAAAGGTCACAGACCAAAGACAAAGGAAGGCACTGAGTGAAGCTCCAGCTCCCCTTTGCAACAGAACCATGGAAAACATGGAGCCACTGGGGTGAATTCAGGCCAGAGGCCTTAAGAGAAAACAGAGGCAAAAGCCAGGGGCCAAATAACAGTTTGGCCTATAAAATAAACAATACCACTCGCTGAGTACTATACTCCTTTAAATAATCAACTATATGAGACCAAACAGTCAACGTTTACCCTAAAGCAAAGATGAGGAGGTAAGGAGGGGCAGGGAAGCTAGATTAATGGAAACAGGACAGAATGAACAATGACAATGCTGGCACATTGTGAAAAATGTAACCAATGTCACAGAACAATTTGCATAAAAATTGTTAAATGGGAACCAAATTTGCTGTGTAAACTTTTACCTAAAACACAATATAATTTTAAAAAAATAATTAAAAAAAGACAGTGTTCAGGGGGAAATGAATGTTAAGAACCCTCTTTAAAAAAAGAAAGAAAAATCCAGGGGCAAAGAGAGCAGTCAGGACTGAGAAAAGGACCGCATCCAGGAGGTGAGACCGAGACGTACCACCAGAGGAGGCAGCCAGACCACTGAGACCACTGCGCCTCCAAGGCCTGGCCAGTTCCTTCATGTGAGGGCCACAGTGCGCAGAAGGTGAGTTACTAGATTCCAGCTGGTGTCGAGTCAATTCCGACTCATGGTGACCCCCTGTGACAGAGTAGAACTGCACTATCGGGTTTTCCAGGCTATAATCTTCATGGGAGCAGATTGCCAGGTCTTTCTCCTGCAGAGCCACTGGGTGGGTTTGAACCGCCAACCTTTCAGTGAGCAGCTGAGCTCTTAACCGTTGCACCACCAGGGCTCCTCCCCACTCATAAGCAGCCCCTTATTTTGATAAAATCTTACAACATTGACTCTCAGTCTTTTTAGAAGGTAATATGATCACTTTTGTGTAAAAGGGAGATAGTTATTAAAATCAATCCATCAATCATTCAGTGCCAGAGGACTCAGAATGTGTTCTTACCTTTTTGGGATCCATGTTGAATTTCTTTCTCCCCATGGCTATTTGCTTGTTCCTCTGCGTAGTTTTGCTATTCATTTGAAATAAATATGAAGTCACTCTTAGATGTTTCCATGAAGCCCAGTGATGGCATGGCCTCGCGCAGTGCGGTTGGGTCTCACCCCTCAGTGGGTTTTCCCCTCACCACAGCCCAGAGGAAGAGCCAAGTCCTCCCAGAGAAGCGCCCCCCCACACCCCCCGGGGTGGAAGCAGACATTGTCTGGCTGCTATGGCTCTTTCTACATTTGATAACTTGAAATCACTTCTCCAGAAAAAGCTAATGATGAAAAACAGCCCAGTTCCTTATTATACAGAACTGCATCGGACCCACAGTGAACGCTGAAGTGCTTGTGCTTATTCCTGACCCTACAAAGGTAGACAGTGAAGAAGAACAGGTAGGGGATGAGAAGTAACATCCAGAGAAGTATCCCCTGACTCATACACAAAGAGCAGGAAAGAGTGAGGGTGGAGAGGAGAGGAATGGACAGCTCCAGAAGGCTCCCCTCCCACTTCCCAATGCCACCCCTTCTAAACCCCTGGCTGCAGTCCCCAGTCTTATAAGCTCCACTGAGGGTGGCGTGGGGAGAAAAGATGAAATAACTTGAAGATGTGGTCATAAATGCATACCTCTCCTCTACAGAAGTTAGATTGTCAATCTCCGTCATCACTTCCGCAATTTCATATTTCAGCCTCTGTCAACAGACAAGACATAAGGGTGGGGAGGAGTGTGGTCTTAGCCTTCCTCCTCCTAGACTTGGGGGAATCTTAGTCTTCCAGGCACAAGCCTCTCTGAGGTCTCAGCTGGCGACACAGGTTTGGAAAAACAATGCTATCATCAAGACAGCTGGAGTTTCACTATCAGAGCCACGACAGCTCAGGAGAAACCAAAAGAATTACCTGCCCCCTCACTGACCCAGCTCAGAGGGCAGGGTGTGCACTGGGCAGATTCTAGAGTATTTGTGTGTAAAATCAAGAAGGGCCACTGGGGAGAATATCACAGGTATAAAAAGAAAACCAGCCGAAGGGAAGCAATGAGCCCTTCGTCCCCTTCCTGCAGCTGTTCAGCATCACCCCACATGGTCCCAGCTTTCTCCTGCACTGCTACCAAAGGACCTGGGAAGACAGGGAGATGCTGCAGTTTAAACATATTTAAATCGATATCAAGTTACCTAATCACCAGTCTCATGATGATTTTGATCACTGTATTTGAGATAAAGTACATGGACAGAGCCCAGGGGGGTAGGGTGACAACTGATCTATGGCACAGGGATGGGCCAGAAATTCCAGAAGGGAGAGATTCCCCTTTCCCTTGATGTGGCTCCACCACTCTCTGGCTGAGGGACCTCTGGCAAGTCGCCTGACCTCTCTGGGCCTCAGTATTCTCAGTTACAAAATGAAGTAGTCAGAGCTAGATTAAGATCCCAATTAATTAAGAGTCAACAGGCCCCATTATTACTGATCTTCAAATAGAACTACTAATCTTAAAACATATTCATATGCTTGAGCCAAAGCAGCCATTCTGGGTTATCTGATTTTTCCAAGAATTAAGGGTAACCCTAGAAGAAAAAGTTCCACGAATTACCTTTCGACCACAAAGAAATTTTTATTCAGAACCTTATTATTTTGTGAGCCAAGAAACTTCAGCCTTAAAGTAGGAGCTCCTAGAAAGGAGTTTTTGTCTGGGACAGGCTGGGCTTACAGCGAGCGGCCTATGAGGCATGTTTATCTTGGCGTGACAATGACTGGAAGCTTCTCAAGAAGAGCCCATGACTGACTGACTTTGCTCTTTCTACTAGTTGGTGTGAAACCATGGCCCAGGGAAGCCCCAGATGGAAGCAGCCCAGGCAGTGCTGGCTTTCTGAATAATTTCTGCAACCCCCACTGACACGCCGACCCCGAGGCTGTGGCTTTCTTCCTTGGCTTCCCTTGTGGGCCTCCTCCGCCCTGCCCTCTGCAGTGGAGAGCGCCAACGTGGAAAGTACAATGTTTGTGTTTCAGGCATCTTTGTTTTATCTGTCCTTGTACTCCTACCATCTAGGAGGCACTTAGTACATTGTTGGAGCTCAATACATGTTTAATATTCATTCAAAAAATATCTGAGTGCCAAAAATGTCATAGGCAATGGTCTAGGTGCTAGGAACACTGGTAAACAAAGTAGGGCCTTAAGATCCAGGTTCGGAGGGCAATATGTTTGTAGGTTGCTGCTGTTGTTAAAAAATGCTGTCCTGTGACTCTGGAGTCCCAAGTCAATTACCAATGTCTCCAGCACCCTGATGTCTTGATTTCTGTCCCTGAGTCTGCCCCACCAAGGATGGACGATCTGTGCTTTACCAACATGGATAAATCTTTCATTTTCTCTCTCCAGGTTGCTAGTGTGTACACAGTCTGGCACTCTTTTTTATATTTTCATGAAGCTACTCAGTTTACTAAATTACCCAAAAGAAAAAGCTAAAAAGAGACGTTTTTACCTCAATGTCATCAATAAGTTCCTTTTTTCTTCGACGAATGTCTAAAAGTTCTTCTCTCTCTTCTAATGAAAGGTCTTCAGGCACTGAAAGGAAAATAAAATCAAATTAAACACCTAAATAGCAACTACTTTACAAAACAATTTGGGAATATCCAGTACAGTTGAATATGGGCATACACGACAACCCGGCAATTCTTTACCTGAAAGACTCTCCAGCACATAGACCATGGGTAAGATACTCATAGTAGCATTGTTTATAATAGAAAAATAACCTAAATGTCCACCAAAAAGAAAATGAACAAACTGTGGTATATTCATAAGACACAATACCACACAACAAGGTTCACCCTTCAGCCAAAGATTAGACAGGCCTATAAAACAAACAATAAAAACACACGTGGTTCAAACACATATGTGAGACCAAATGGGCATGCCAGCCCAGGGGCAAGGACGAGAAGGCAGGAGGGGACAGGAAAGCTGTAAGAATGGAAATGGGAAACCCAAGGTCGAGAAGGGGAGAGTGTTGACACGTTGCAGGTTGGCAATCAATGTTACAAAACAATGTGTGTATTAATTGTTTAATGAGAGACTAATTTGCTCTGTAAACTTTCACCTAACGTACAAGAAAAAAAAAATCCACAAAACAGTAAAAAAAATGACTGAACTAGGTTTATCAACCTATCAACACAGAAATCTCACGAACAGAACAATGATTATAAAAGCAGGCAAAAGTAAAGACATCTATGTACATGAGAGGATAGCATATCCTTTTTCGGGACATGGAAGCTTCGCATTGGGAACCCGCCCAGACCTCGTCCTATGTGTCTCTTCGTTTGTATCCTTTTTCCTATATTAAAACTGTAAGTATAGCAAAAAAAAAAAAAAAAAAAAGGAGGCAGAAGAACTTCTACTGTATGTGATACCTTTTATGGAGTGTTTAAAATCAAACCAATATATCAGTGTTTTGAGAATATACATATATGCACAGCAGAAGTATAAGTAAATGCACAGGAATGATAAACTCTAAATTCTTGGTAGTGGTTACTTCTGAGAAAGTTGATGGTGGGAAATACAATCAGAGAAGATCCTCAGGAGGTTTCACCTGCAGTGGTTTGCAGGATGGTAGACTCATGGATATTTGCTGAATTATTATTTTTGTGTGTGTAGCACAAAGTTGTTCATAATATCCTCTTATTAATGATGAACCTCTATGATATTGTCTATTCCTAACACGTGTGTGTGTGTATACATTCTCTTTCTTTGATCAGTCTTCTTACAGCTAGTTTATTTCCTTAAGCTTTTCAAAGAATTAGCATTTGGCTTTGATAGTCCTCGCTAGTGTGTGTTTAATTTGCATTTCATTAATTTGTTTAAAGAAGCAAAAGATTAAAAATATGAGTAAATAGCAAGAGAACATACAGTGATTCTACAAACAAATTAAGATGACACGATAATGATACAGGGATAGACAAACTGACCGATGAACCAGAAGACAGTGCCCTGAAAACCCCCTACAGATGGTGGAAACTTGATTTGTAGCAGAACTGGCACTGCAGCTCAAAATGCCAGGATGGACTTTTCAATAAATTAAGTGTGTTGAGTCAGCTGTCTATAGGAAATAAATGAAACTGGACTCCTCCTATCATCATACTTACTTTCAACCAATTACAGGTAGATTAAAGGCTTAAATGTGAAAGGCAACACTATACCATTTTTAGATGAAAATACAGGAGAATGTCTTTATGATTTCAGGGTAGGATAGGATGTCTTAAACAAGGTAAGAAAACATGTAAATCACAAAGGAAAATATTAATACATTCAATGATATTTAAATTAAGAGCTTTTGTTCACCAAAAGTTCCACACCACAGAAAAAGCTAAACCAGAAACTGTAAAAGGATTGGTATCCAAAATATGTAACTTCTACAGATCGATAAGGAAAAAAGTTTAGAAATGGGCAAAATACTTAAAAAGGCACAAGACCAAAAAAGCATTATGAATGGGCTTATGGAAAGATGTCAACTCTTTTAATAGGGAAATGCAAATTAAGATACCTCCATTAAACTGTAGGAAACCTCACTAAAACTACAGTAAAGTGATTAAAAAACAATAACAACAACAACAACTCATAAACCCACCAGGACAAGGAGAATGGGAAAACCGAGAAAATAATCACATTTTAAAAGCTGGGAAACAGATTGGACCGGGTAACTGACATAACTGACCTGAGAAAGGAGACTCATAAGCCAACAGTGGGCTTGACCAAGGGGTAACCTAACTGGCACCATGGAATCCTCAAAAGGCTTAAGAACTAGTTGCACTAGATAACTCTAGAGGGTGGGTTATGAAGGGTAGAGGCCAAAATAAGGACTGGTTGGAAGGCTGTCTTAAAAGTTACTGATCCTTTCATTTCTTCTGCATGTCCACAGAAGACTATCTCTAGAGAGTAAAACAGAGGGACTACAAAAAAGAAAAAAAAATCAATTAAACACAAAAGAAGGCAGTAATGGAGGAAATGAGGAACAAAAAAGATATAACCCATATAGGAAACAAACAGCAAAGTGACATTAGTCCTTCCTTATCAGTAATTACTTTAAATGTAAACAATTAAGCTTTCCAATTAAAAGGCAGAGAATGGCAGAATAGAAAAAAACATTATCTATATGCTGTCTACAAAAGACTCACTTCAGATCCAAAGACACAAACAGGTTGAAAGTATGAGGATGGAAAAAGATATTCCAGACAAATAGTAACCAAAAGAGAGTTGCGGTGGCTATACCAACATCAGACAAAATAGTACAAAATTTTTACAGAAGACAAAGGACATTATATATGGATTGTTCTAGATATTTCCTAAGTGGGGTCATACGGTATTTGTCCTTTTGTGTCTAACTTATTTCACTCAGCATAATGACTTCAAGGTTGATCCATACTGTAGCATGCATCAGTACTTCTTTTCTTTTTCTGGCTGAATAGTATTCTATTGTGTGGATATACTGCATTTGGTTCATCAATTCATCAGTTGATAGAGATTTGGGTTATATCCATCTTTTGGCTATTTTGAACAATGCTTTTCCTCAAGTCTCCCTGTCTAATTTGGCTCAAGTCTGGGGTTACTTTGTTTGGCTTATACCAATCAACAAAGGTGGAATGAATGAATGTCCGCTAGACTTAATATTTAATGGGAAGGCATCCAAAAGACCCAGATCAAGATATCATATGACAGCTAGGAAAGAATGATACCTCAAAAGCTAACAGAGGAAAAACTTTGAAGAGGGAGAAAATCAACAACGTCGAAGTGTAGATATATTGGGGGTGGGGTGGGGGAGGAAGGCCTCTGAAAGGGTAGAGCTTTAACTGAATCCTCAGAAGACATTTTTGTTTCTTGTTAAAAAAAAAAAAAAGTCTACCTACAGTTTCTCTCCTCCTACTCTGATGATAAGCTGATAAGCAGGGTTGGCTGACAAAGCAGACTGAAGACATAGTAAGTAAATGTAAACACCAGGATGATTTAAGATACCAAAGCTTCTTCTAATCATAATCTTTACTCATCGATTTTGTTGATTTTCTCTTTCAGTAATGCCTACCTTCTCCTTTTCTTTTAAAACCCTAAGTAGTTAAATAAAGTACTGACCATTTACTTTACCAGTAATTTCAATCAGAATTTGCATGTCTAAAAGAAAGAGAAATTTTGTAAAGTGGGTTAATGATATTGTGGTGCGTAGGAAAATGTCCTTATTTTCTATAAATTCATACCTTAGTATTTGGGGTATAATGTTATTATGTCTGTACTTTATTTTGAAATTAAAAAAAAAAATGAAAACAATTGTTAAATCTATGTGACAGATATATAGGTATTCAAAATCAATTTTATTTACTGAGGGTTTAACATTTTTCATAATAAAAAATGAAAAAACAAAAAAGCAAAATCTCTGCTATTAAGTAGCCAGTAGCAGCTCTTATATTTTACGGTATCTGGCACAAGTATTATTAGGAAATAATGGAATGCTCCTTGGCACATTAAAAAAAGAATAGATAAAATGAAGAGATGTAATGAAATATTTTTGGATCAATCTCTGAATAACTTGTCATTCAAATATCTCACTGTCCTATTTTTTCTTTTGACACCCAGAATTTACAGTGAACACAAACATTTTAGTTGTTATACCAGCTATTAGTGAAGTTCTGTCAGTATCTCTCTGCATACAAAATAACTTTGCAGTTACATGATCTGCTGATACACAGGCAATTTCAAACATGCAAGTGCCATACTATATGGGATGATAACGAATGTTCAGCGAATGTATCCTTGATTATCAAGACCTGTTCCACAGCAAGAGACCAGTCTTCTCCCAGTGAAGGCAATATAAGGTTTGGCTTCATTTACTTGACATAATCTACATCCTGTCACTTGGACCCTGTTAGTAGGATGAAACAAAAGTCCCGTGGTTGATTTTTTTTTCTCCCAGGAAAGCTAGTAGTTTAACAGTAAAACAACAAAGGGTAGTGATCCCTGAGAGAAGAGAAACAAACTAGCTGAGTCCTACTATTGCTCCAGCTTACTGCCTGGGGAGAGTTTCCAGGCTGCATCCCAGGGAGGGGGTATCGAGGCAGAATCTGGGATCTCCCTGAGTTCTTGAAGAGACAAAGCTGGGAGTCTGAAGAGGCCAAGACAGCTAGAGTTTGCAGGGCAGAGTACCAGAGGGAAGAGAACAGCATGGAAAGGGAGCTCTAGAAATCTGTGGAGGATCCACATGAAATCGTCACCTGACTATTGATCACTACAAGTGTGCAAGGAAACTACTCAGCCAAGGAAAGAACCACACAAAAGAATTAAAGGGACAATACTCAGAGCTTGCATGTGCTGGGAAGAGTTTCTGTTCTCACCAACCAGAGTGGAAAACCCCATAATTCACAGGGCATCACTGAGTAGAATACTCGGAAGGGTTTTGCCTCAGGAGAGCGACAAAATTAGCCTGAGCTTGTTTCACCTATTAAAACTTAAAGGCAAGACTAGAAAAGATCAAACTGTTTCCAAGTAATTTAACTGTATCCCAGAACACAATTTAAAAATAATTTATAAGAGTACAAAAATATCCAGCACCCAGCAAGCTAAAAACTGCAATGTCTAGCCTCCAATAAAAAATTACCAGACATGCAAAGAAGCAGGAAAATACAACCTATGATAAGAAAAGTCAATCAACTGAAATTAACTTAGATATTACACAGATGACAAAATAAATAGACAAGGACATTGAAGCACTTATTGTAATTGTATTCCACATATTAAAAAAGCTAGATGAATGACTGTGCATGCTAGGGAGAGACAAGAAAGATGTTTTAAAACGCCCAA